AACAATGTACCCATACATTATACTCGGAGTACATGAAACAGTTTAAATAAATTCTTTTCTCTTTTTGAGCACTTTTTGTCTGGATGTAAGAAACACGGAACTCCAGGAAAAACCACAGAAGAACAGGGTATTAAAATCTAATCTATTTTCTCGCCTTGTTCTTCCCCTTCCCTCCACCGCCTAGCTTGGTCTTCTTTGGTGGCGGCTGGGGAGCTGAAAGGGCTTCATCCTCAGAGTCATCCTCCGTGTCAGCAATGAAATCGGCCACCGAGCCGGCACTCTCGGCGTCATCGTCATCGTCGTCTTCGTCTTCCTCCAGTGACTCCTCAGCGTCGGAAGAGCCGGCAGACTCCTCCGCCTCAACGTCAAATACATCTTCATTCTCATCGTCGTCCTCCTCACTGCCCTCCTCCTCGTCCTCAGACTCATCAACGCCAGAGTGGACGCCGTTCAGCATGGACTCGTCCTCGTCGAAGGTCTGATCGCGAATCAACTTGGTCCGTGGTGTGGCCATATGCTTCGCAGTCTCAGCATCGCTATCCTCCTCCTCAAGCTCCTCCTCTCCCTCAACGTAGATGACGTTGTCTTCATCCTCACTCTCCATTCCCTCCGCTCCACTGCGGATGGATTGCCTCAAGCCGAGTTGCGCGTCCAACATATCGAGCTTACCTTTAAGCAGCAGCAAAGAGGACAAGCTTGATGAGCGCTGATCCATAACCTTGTAAAGCGTAGCCATACGCTTCAAAAGATCTGGCTGGCCGGCGAGGGCCCCACCATGTGCGACACATGTCCATTGGATCCACACGAGGAGGTGTCCGTACCGGCCAGGTCGGGCAGAAAGGCGCTCGGCCAGCTTTTGGAGGAGTGTAGCTGCCAGGGATGACTCCAAGCGTTGGATGGTCGTCCGGATAATTGAGAGGTCACCGGTATGGAAACAAGATTCAAGCATGTCGTTATCGTTAGTCTTGAGGGACTGCGTCAGAACAGTGGAGAGCGAGACACCGGATGGAATCTGCTGGACTGCTTTGTTGGGTTTCCCAGGAACAAGAGATCCGATGCGGACATCGTCCTCAAGTTCAGCCTCAACATCGATCTCTGCTGCATTTGCCCGCATGAGCTCGCCAAAGGAGGGTTCGCCTGTCTCGTCCTCATCTTCAGGATCGGACTCCTCCGCGTTATCCATCTCCACGTCGCTGTCGGTACCGTTCCTTTTGTCTGTTTCCTTCACCTCACCCGACTGCTTGCGTTCCTGGTCGTCATCATCCGAGTATTCATCGCTATCTGAGATAGCGTCTTGTTTGGAGTCTTGCATCTCAACATCGTCATCTACGAGATCTCCTTGCTGTACCACTGCCTTGGACTCATCGACCTGGCTCTCACCTGTCTTCCTTGCACCGTTTGTGGTTACCGACGAGAGTACTGAGTTGGACTTGCTCTTGACAATCTTCTTTGTGCCCGTGAATGCCAACTCGTCGGTTTCTTCATTGAGACAAGAAACACGTTCGAAAATAGGAATGACCCCTCCTTCAGTATAAGCAATGACTAGATCACGGCCCTGAAACGATGCTGTTACCACAGGGACGAGCGCATCGGAGCCCTCGGAGCGCGTGATCTTAATAGAGCACTCTGCTCTCCTGGTCATCTGCCTTCCCTTTGCCTTCAAGCTCTTACCTGCCTGTAAGTCCTTTGGCTGAACGAATGGCCTCATGAAAAGCTCAATTGTACCGTCGTCAGTTACAGCTGCCAGGGCTTGCTTCTCCAACGACAACGAGTCACCCGTCTTCCCCCCGAAGCCGGTATACAATGACAACGAAGATACTTCTTTTTCAGCCACCAGATTCATCACGAGCTTCCGACTCTCAGGATCAAACACATTGATATAACGGTCATTATCGGAGCCGAGGAACAATCCGGCAGAAGCGGACTCAGTGGAGGAGGTGAGAAGAGTGTGGATAGAATTGCGCATGGCGGGGAACGCAATTGGCGCATCATTGTTATCAGTATCGATTAGATATGGCGTTTGAGATGCGCAGATAACAGGTGGGTTGGAGGGAAGCGGGCGCGCCAGACTCGTGGCCGCTGAGGATGAAGGCAAGTTAACTATCCTAGGACGTGATGTTAGACAGGTCCCGAGAATCCCACGATAAGGGTATATGAGCTTACTTTGTGCTTTTCCCGGTGCGCAGATCCCATTGTACGAGTTTGTTATCACCACCGACACTCCAGCCTTCTTGAGCGGGCTTGCCCAAAGTAAATTTGAAATCCTTAACACCTTCATCGTGAGCTCCAGCGAGTGTTCCGACAATCTTGTCCTCCGTAGGCGAGTACATCCGGATATCTGAAGTACTGGTACCGAAGGCGACAACTACATCTCCCTGATCGAACCCACCGGCGGAACCATTGACGTCGGAGTGTCGCTTTCTCTTCTTTTTTGACTGTTGATCGCGATCCTTCTGTCTTCCTGGATAGTATCCCCAGTCTAGGGAGGTGACCATCTCCTTAGGACCCAAGACATGCTCGCATTGTAACCGGCCGGTATTCGTATCATGAATTCGCAAATGCTGAGCATCAAGGCCCTGAATGACCGACGCGAAAAGCGCCAATTGATATTCAGACGGTGCAAATGATGCCTTTAATATCGAAGATTTGCTTCCAGTGTATGTCAGGCCGGATATCGCGGGCGACGCAGCGGAGGAAGTTTTCGAGGAGGGCGGGCGAGACGTCTTCTTACCCATTTTGACCGAATCTATAAGTGAACAAGGAACAAACAACGTCACAAAACAGACACTAGGTAGTTAAATAAGCCTAGTCCCGCTTTGAATTTGAGCGACACCTGGATGTTGTGAGTCTGTTGAACTGCAGACTGTCGCCGTCTCTTGGGCGGTGCTGCTGAGAAGGAAAAAAAAGTTCTGTAGAGCCAGTAGATGGCGCTTGCCCTGTTATGGTCTAGCGCCGTATATGTGCTGCAGGCGTCTTATCTAATCGCCCGCCTCTTCCATCACTCTAGTAACTACTCTCTTTCAAGTCATCTTTCCTCCCAATATATGCGTCGGTCCTCGACGTGTCCGCAGAATGCTGAATCTGCCTGCCTAGGCTTCGCATGTTTTCTGGCGTCACCTCCTCTTCCCCCTGTAATCAAGCACCTAGGTGATCTCGACCTACACGTTTGAATCTTCTCACCTAAATCTCAGTGTGTTTGAATGCCTTCTCAAACTCACTCTCAGCTCTGCCTTCAAATAATGCGCTGAAGATAAGCGCTGTTTGCTTCTTCCATTGGTCGATTTATCAAAAGGACCGAAATTTCGTGAGACTCATAAGTCGCATTCTTCGGGCCTTGGGAGCCAAATATGCGCAGTTTTCATTCGGACTACAACTGGCATACTGTTGCATATTCTCCGCGCAGAGTCATGCGTTGTCAGTTGGTACACTTTTGACTCATTTCTGTCCACCCAGATTCAACTGCAAGAAAACCCCCTTTGTCGTGTTCCACTCCACAGACAAAGTCAGGGGTGACTGATAAAGCGCGACACTGGTGATTGTTCGAAGACCAATGTGGCGTGTCCTGAGACCAGCAGAACAAGGGATACAGGCAGCCGCCACTGTTACGCTACAGGTACTACTAGGGAAACACTTGAGTTAAGCTCATGCTCATATCGTGACAGAATCAGCTTTTTAGAGATCAAAGCAATCTGGTGTTTTTGTCCATGTCCTCATTGACATTCTACTATAGCTATCTCTCTTGGCATGACTACCAAGCCCTAGTGTTTATGTCAGCAACACAAGGCTAGACCTAATACAATGCAAGGGAAGGAAGGGCTCAGGGCTTGACCCTGGGGCTTTCCCGGGTCAGCAGATCAAATTTTTCTGGATCGGTGTGTAGCAAACCAGCCATCAACCATATCCATGATGCAGTCCTTATCCCGTCATGAATGCCTAACAGATTTTTTGGGTATGTCATATCTGATCTAACTTACGGTATGACAAAATATACATTTAGTGGATGTCGTCTCATGAAATGTGTCCCAGCTAAACGCCTTGGAAGACTTTCAGTGTTGCTCAATTATTTTTGATTTTATCAGCTTGATGTCCTTTTTTGCAATTCTCAAATTTTTTTTTTTTTTTTTTTTTTGGAGAGCTGAATATTTTTCGAGGATGTTTCCGACAAAGGGACTCCTGGTACGAGGATCCACCAGAGTTACAAGGACCCAATCGTATCCATGGACTCGTAGAACGCGTCACCCATCAGCCAATCAGCAGCTGCTGAATATTTAATTAGGATTAGTGTATCCGATGGAGTTAGCGGCAGAGGACGGACGAGCGCGACGCGGCCGTTCGTACTTAAGGATTCTAGCACCCCCTCCGATTTCCTCAGTCTCTGTTTCTGGACCTGAGCTGAGCTGCGCGCCGGTCACGCCTTTCCTACCCTTTTTTCTTACCGCCTCGCCTAAACCTGCGTGTCCAAGGTTACTTGTGACCACCCCTGGACATTATCATCATTTATTTTCTTATTTACACGGTCCAACGCGTTGTCGCGTCGCGCTCCCGGATAAGAATCCCAGCCACAGCTACTGCACTTGCCGTTTATTTTTGTTTTTTATTTTTATTTATTATTGTCATTATTATTTCCCCCTTCCCTTTATTATTATTAGCAACAACTCAAACCCCCCCAACCAAATTAACTGTATTTCTATCACCCTTCACTCCCGATCGCGACTCCACGAGGTCCATTTAATCACTGTGGCCTCAGGCACATGAGTTGGCACGTGCGATCCCCTTAGAGATCACCTGACTTGCCTATTCTTTTTCGACGTCTCCTTTGATTCTTCTTTCCACTTCCGTTTTATCTCGAGATTGCCTCACGCTTAGTCAATCAGGCTTGCCGCCCACGTGACTCTACAGCGTACCGCCTCTTGGCAATATATATTCCTCTGCTTCCTGTCGCATTCTCCACTTCCGACCCGCGCTAATACTCATATTTCCTGTATATTCTAACACCGCGGCGTCGCAGCAGTTGTGACTGCTGAGCAACAGTTTTCATCTGTCTTTTGTCACTTAATCAGGGGGTTTTAGTCGACGGTTGACGAATCGATCCATTTAGTCTGTGATAGCGCAGAGAATACCTATTCAGTGCATTTTTGTTGTCGCTTTAAGCTTTCTCGATAACTGATACCGGCTGCTACCTTCATCGCTGCGTGTTAGTACACTGTATTCTGGTCCTCAGTTGGACATTTAAACATCGACCTCAATGGCGACCCCGCCTCCGGAGGCTACTCCTGTGCTCAAGGAGGAGAAGCCTCAGCTGCCACCGTCGCCAAATGGCATCTCTTCAGTCGATGTTGGTCGCAAAGAGTATGTATACCTCCGACCGACTTTTGGAAACGTGGAGCTAATTGTTGACTACCTCTTTACAGCGTGCAGGGTCTTGTAACTGATTCTAACCCAGACGCGGCCGCTAATGAGAAAAAGGCCGATTCGACCAAACCTGCTTCAGTGAATGGCCATGAGACTACTACCACAAACGGAGTCAATACAACATCCCCTCCGAAGTCACCGACTGCCCTACCCGAGGAACGCAAAATACCGACCACAGAATCTTCAGCGACAGACGAGATAAAGAAGGAAACAATTGGGAATAGTCCTACCAACTCTAGTGGAAAACCGTCTGCCGATAAGACTAGTGCTGATAATGGTACCCCTCAAAAATCCCAGTCAACGCCCGATAGCTTAAAGCCAGCGAAAGAGATGGACGGCAGTATCCAGGCTCAGGGCTCTGCTGCGAAGACCGATCTTCCCCATCATCCTCCCGCTAGTTCAAAGCCTGAAGGTTCTTCGAACAATAATTTAACTACTAAGGCTCCCTCGCTGCCGCCTTTGCAGGGTGTTGATCAGGAAATGCGAGATGCGCCTGATGTGCCGATGTCTCCCACAAAGTTATCTAGGGAACGCGAACCAGACCCAAGAGATGAACCTGCCGCGAAGCGTACCAAGATTGGAGGGGAAGGTTCTGGGCCGTCTGGATTTAAAGCACCCGGGACTCCCGGCCCCGTGGCTGAGCGACGTGCGGATGCGGCAACGAATGGTGATGCGACTATGACCAGGGTTCAGCACAAGTTCCTTCTTAAAGGGATACAAAGCCTGAAGCGTATGCACGACTCACGATTTTATCGGGAGCCAGTTGATCCAGTGAAGATGAATATCCCTCATTATCCGCAGATTATCAGACAGCCCATGGATCTTGGAACCATTGAGAGACGCCTGAAAAACAACGAGTACAAGTCAGTCAAGGCTGTTACTGATGATTTTAACCTCATGGTTCAAAACTCGTTGACGTTCAATGGCCCGGATCATATTGTTGCGCAGGAGGGGCAGAAGCTCAAGTCTACTTTTGAAAAGCAGATGATTAACTGCCCTAGACCTGATGATATCGAAGAGAAGAAACCGAAGAAGTCTTCTCCTAAGACCTCAGCGGCACGACGGGAACCACGAACAAGCATAGGCCAGGCTCCTCCACGCCCAACTGGTGGTTCCCCTCAGGCTACAACATTCGCTTTGGGACCAGAAGGTCTTCCTGTTATTCGTCGTGATTCTACCAATGCTGATGGACGGCCCAAGCGGTCCATCCATCCTCCGAAGCGCGACCTGCCCTACTCGACGAAACCGAAAAAGAAGAAATATCAGTGGGAATTGAAGTTTTGCCAGGAGGTTCTTGATGAGCTGCACAAACCAAAACATTTTAACTATGCGGTCCCTTTCTATCAGCCCGTTGATCCAGTGGCCTTGAATATCCCTACCTACCACAGCATTATCAAAAAACCGATGGATCTCTCAACTATGCAGACAAAACTTAAAACTGGTCAATACGAGAATGCCAAAGAGTTCGAACTGGACATGCGCCTGATTTTCAAGAATTGTTTCAAGTTCAATATCCCAGGAGATCCTACATATCTTGCTGGACAAAAGTTTGAAGAGATATTCAATTCTAAGTGGTCTCAGAAGACACGCTACTTGGAGGCCCATGAACCGCATCCCGAGCACCACAGCGGAAAGTCCGAGTCTGAATCTGACGAAAGCGACGAAGATGCGGACGAAAGCGATAACGACGAAGAACTTCAACGGCTACAGCAAAAGATTGCTGAAATGACACGTCAGGTGGAAGTTCTTGCTCAGAAGAAGAAAAAGAAGACACCACCCGGATCGAAGAAAGCCGGGAAGCTCAAGTCTAGCACGAAGGATATCAAGAAACCTGGAAGCATGAGCCTGGCCAAGAAGGACAAGAAGAGCAGCATAAAGCCATCAAAGCCCGAGAAGCAGCGCTGGGTCACATATCAGGAGAAGCAAATCATATCCAATGGGATCAGTAGCCTTCCCGATAAGAAGATGCAGGAAGCGCTTAAGATCATCCAAAGTAATGTTCCATCTCTCAAGGTACGACCTCGGCCACATCTACTTACTGTCATGAGCTAAGAAGCCTAACTTTTGCGTCTAGGGCACCCAAGAAACAGAGATTGAACTCGATATCGATGAGCTGCCCAACGATGTGTTACTTATGCTGCTCAGATTCGTCAAGAAGAATGCGCCCCAAGTTATGGAAGATGAAGAAGTGGCGACGCCCACTGCTATGAATACTGCTGCTGCCCCTAAGCCAAAGAAGAACAAGCCCATGAGCAAATTCGAACAGGAAGCTCAGATCAACATGCTCGAAAGCAATCTGTCTCGCTTCCAGGGCGGTGGCCGTTCACCAGATCCAGTTCCCTCTGTCGAAGCTAACGAAAGCAGCGACGATTCGGAAGATGACTCGGAAGAGAGCGAGGAGGAGTAAACCTTCGCTGGATGAATTCTAGCTGAATATTTACTTTTCAGAAATCTTCCACTTTGTCTTGTTGATCTACTTTGCTAGTACTCCTGGGCATTCCTATCCTTCATTTTTACGCTATCCATCATTCTAATTAGTTGTTTCCCCATCTTGGTTGTTAACCTGTGTTCCCACGCCAGCCTTTCCTGTTCCTTTTTTCTTTTCCACTATTAGCGATACTGTTGCGTTGGAAGACGGCCTGAACTATTTTTAATCAGGCGCCTGGTATTCTTGTACATAGCCCTTTACTTCTATCGGGTTGAACGTCGCGTCTGAGCTCTTCACTTTCGCTCGCCTGCATCTGGTGGCAAGATCCATAACCCTGTGGTGAACGCACGATATGCTTTTGCTCGTCTTTCATGAGGGCGCTGCCTGCCGACATCGGTTGGACTTGCTCTAAGCATGTTTTGCGCTTGTTCTCTGGTGAAGGCGGAAATGCTTCAGTTGCAAGTCGATGCGCAGTGATAGTTCTCTGAGGAGAGGGTTGTGATGGCACCTAGTGCATGTATGATTACGAGAGAAATGTGAAAACGGAAGCGAAAATCTGAGACTTTGTATTCTTATACATATTTCGAGTAATTCCCTGTAGGCATTGTACTCTACATACCTCCGATGAGTCTTGATATGTTTGTGAGGGTAACCAATGGATCTTCGGATATATTGATAATACTACTTATCGGTGGGCGGTGACGCAGCACACCGATTAAATGTTATCCAAATCTAATCTCCAGCTTCACAACCTTGTAGCGACCACATGTTATCTAGAACGCAACAACCGTGGCCATGTTACCTCCTTGCGACCCGGCAATACTTGAGAATAATCCTCAATTTAAGAGACTATACCAGAACTTGACAACAAATTTGCTCAACCCTGATGCTTCGACACGCGCCAACCATGCGCAACCTGCCAGAAAGGCTGTATTGGAAGTACGTGCTCAAACTGTCCAAAACTTGGACAATCCCACACTCGGAGGAACGCACAACAAGAATACTAAATTAAGAAAACTTTGTTCCAGGAATTACAAACCTGCCGGACTCGTCATATGAAAAAGCAAATCAAGAAACAAACACTGCGCCAGCTAGCCTTTGATCCCGACTGTGATATATCGGACGATGTGAGCATGGCTCCACAGGCAACCAACATAAACGAGAACAGAAATGACTGACAAGGATGCATGGCTTATCACTAGTACCGCGACACGATTGCAATTATCAGCTTGTATTTGGACTCGTCATCCAATCAGCTCGACCTAGATGGTGCCGATGTCGATGGAGCCGATGTGCTATCTCTCTTGACCCCAGACATTGACAAGTTTTACTCCGATCTTCCTGCGTTGATTAAGCCCTTCTCGAATGCTATTTCGTCTTCTCTGGGCGCCCTTCGATTAATCGCTAATGCGGGCGACGCTTCGAATCCTTCGTCTGCGGAGTCATCCCGACCCCGAACTAGGGCTCATCAGTCAATGATGAGAGCACCCGCTTCTCTCTCCCCACAGCTTGAAGATCGACTGCGTAAATTACGCCAGAAACAGCTATCTGAACTCCCGGCAGCCCGCACACGGATGGCAGCGACAGCGGGGGAAGTCCTGGCGACACGGGCTGCGGTACTGGAGCGTACGGTGGTTTTACTGGAACGCGCCAAACACGGGGCACTCGCCCGAGCCACCAAGGCAAAGGCGGAGCATTTAGCTACCGTAGCACGGGGAGTGGAGGGGAAGCTGAGGTATGTCCGACCGTAGTGGCTTTGGTTCAAGTTCAAGAAGGGTATGAAGGTCTGCCGAGACTAATTATACATGATAGGATGACGAAACTGGATATTTGTGCCACGATACACACGCCCGAGACTATTGCTGCCCTCAGCCGATACCGTCAACATCTCCAAGACACCAGAGAGCGGCTGGTAGAGAGAAAGGCGTCGGCTCTGGAGGAACTAAACGCATATGAGGTGGACGACTCGGGGGTGAACGATAGAGCTGTCACCAGAGGACGGTCAGCAACAGGACCTATCAGGGAAATAACCCGACAATACGGGGACTTAATACGAGAAATTGAAGATGTGAGGTCAGAGATTGAAAGATTATGAATGGGTAGGCATTTCTCGCTCTATTGTTTTGTCTTAAGATACCCTTGTTCCAAACGCATCATCGTGCCTTATACTGCTTAATAACCCTGTCCATATTCATCACTTTATACATGTCCTCCAATTGGATGATTCGATTTTGTACCTTTCACCAAAACAACCTTATTGAACCAGCCAATAAACACCACCCCGCATTTTGATCACCTGACCATCCCACCAAAAGTTTTCCGCCGATAAGACTCATGGAATCTATACACTGATCCTCAAATTCCCCCAAATCCACAGAATAATCTTTCAGTAACTAGAAATACACCAAAAATGGCCGACGAAGCCCTTTCCATCTACGATGAAATCGAAATCGAAGATATGACCTTCGACCCTGTCCTCCAAATCTACCATTACCCTTGCCCGTGTGGCGACCGATTCGAGATTGCGATCGATGATCTTCGCGATGGAGAGGAAATCGCCGTTTGCCCCAGCTGCAGCTTGATGATTCGGGTTATTTTTGACGCTGTACGTCTTCATTTATCTATTTCTTATTATCATGTATACATCGGGGTTCTTACTGACATCATGAAGGACGACCTCCCCAAGGACGATCAGCAGCAAGGCCCCAGCACCGTTGCGGTTCAGGCTTAAGCTATCTAAGAGCGAAGTAGGGGAAAAAAATATAGGGCCAATAAATTGATACCGCCATACGTCGTTATACGTACTGTTCGAGGAATCTCTCGGCTTTCGTTTGTCGACTTGAAGGAAAAATACAGAAGTTCAGTCTTCGCCACGGGGCCATGCGACATAGCGAGCGCATTACAGTCGGATGCCCGCCCTCGCGCCGCTCGTAACAATGATCGGAAGATTGAGGTGTCAGCGGGGTCTTGCCGTGCGTGATGTGAGGGTGATTTGCTGCGAGACCTGGTTGGGGGTTTTTGTCGAAGAGGCATTGTATCTCTTGACTTTGTGCAGGTGAAACGTGAGAGATGAGGCGCGTTAGAGGGCGTGTGAAGTGAAGCCAATAGTGATCACATAATAATGACGATGCGGTGCTATGGGGCGATGATGGCCTTCTAGAATTGGTCGTCGTGTGTTCGAAATATGGAGAGCAGTGGGATTCCAATACTGAATCTGAGAAAGATAGCTCACTACGAAATTCAAATATGCATATTGTATTATGTCTGCGCAACAAGTATATGGTGTAGTACTCGATGCCGAAATGTTTAATCCACTAAGATTCAGTTATGGGAGCTCTCATATCCTACAACCTCCACAGCTCCATGTATTCATGATCCGAGCAACATAGGCGTATCTTCCTATAGCTCAGTCGCATACCACTGCAAGCAGATCACAGTTCCTCAGAGTAGACATCTTTCGGGATATTCAAGGTCAACTCGGTGTTCAAAAGGTCCGTCAAATTCGATCCATCCCGGAGATAGATCCATTGCCCACTAGCAAAGGGCCTACTATCCTGCTTCTCGTGCATGTGGTCCCCCTCCACAACCCAGTCGTACCGCTTGGGACCAGAGATAGGGGAGCTGAGCCAGATCTGCTTGTTGGGGGGTTGCTTGTTCAAGACATAGGTGCCGGCACTGGGAAGGATGATGTTCAATACTCCGGCCTACACGCAGGAGAGTGATTAGCAATTCGTATACCGATTGATTTTGTGACGGAAGCAAAGGAGACGAAAAAGCGACAGAGCTAAAGCCCATCCAAGAGGTCCAACGAGATATTAAGCGACGGAGAATACGCACACTATACTCAGCCTCTATGTCCGCGCCCTCCTCTTGCACCTTCTCTATCTCGCTCTGGAGCACATTGAGATAATGTTCCGCGTATTCATGGTATTCTCCGTCTGTTAATGGCGATGGCTCGGTGACATGGCCGGCGGCGCCCGCGACGTTGTTGCTTTGCGGGTTGGGGGCCGGAGGGTCCGACGAGTCAGGGAAGATGCCCTTACGAGCTGCAGGGGTGCAACGGAAGCCCCGACGAGATGAGCGAGGGGGCAGATTCGCCTGGGGTTGGAAATGAGAAGCTACTGGCGTTGAGATCCGGCCGACGCGGAGGGTCGGGCGGATGGCCGCTGGGAGAGCTCGAGGAAAGCGGGACAGCATAATGGGATGCGTGAGACGCTGACTGGGTGAGACGGTCTTCTAGAGGATTGAGAATAGGTTATCGCAGAGGGATGTTGGGAGGTGCAAGAGCAGAGAAAAGTGGAGGTAAAGGAAATGGATGGCATCATAGCTTATTTGGAGCTTAACTCCATTCGGCGTGGACTTTCTCCGCATTTGATTCCATCACCAATTACAACCATACTATTAGACAAACTTGTTGCTGCCAACGCCACTTATATCGCATACACTGCATTAGCGTCTGACTCGACGCTTCATCTTTCTTGTCAAGCAGACCACTTGGGGGTACCAGCGATCTACAGTTGCTATATAGATGATATACCCCCGGCCGTACAGGCCCCTCACCACAACAACCTGGCCATCAACATTCATATTCTTTCGCTCATACCACCCCAAACAGTGGACGACAGTCATGTCCGACACTAAAAAGAAAGAGAAAAGACCACCCCTAACGCACTTTCTCTGCCTCCCTCTCGTCAACTCAAAATCCCTCCCCCAACTAGAATCCTCTCTGGCAGCATTCAAAGCGTCGATTCCACGCCGTGCACTCCGATATGGAGCTCCAGGACAGCCACTCATCCCTGATGGCGCGCTCCGTCCCGTAGGTACCCTGCACCTGACTCTGGGTGTCATGAGCCTCCCAACGAAAGAGCGCCTGAACGAGGCTATCGAGTTCTTCCAATCACTGGACCTAGCCACTCTGGTGCGCGAGGCTGAGAAGATCGCAAGCGCACGCGCGCAAGGCAGGAAGAGAAATGCGCCGTTAGTCTCAGCAGCAGAGCAGTCATCTTTGTCGAGCGCCGGGGAAGTCGCCAAATCGCATGATGAAAGCCCCCCGAGCCCGTTCATTGTCTCTCTTGAATCTTTGCATGCACTTCCTCGCGCGCGCGCCGCGACGGTCCTACATGCGGCGCCTGTCGATCCTACGGCTCGTTTGTATCCCTTCTGCGTACTGCTGCGGGACAAATTTTTGGAGGCCGGATTTTTGGTGGGTGAACAGAAGAAGGGGAAAGATAACGAGCAGACGAATGATAAGTCTACAGAGGGTGCGGCGGTTGAAGAGCCCTCTCGCCTCGAGGAAATGCCAGCCAACATTGCGGAAGAAGCCGCACTTAAATCAGACAAGTCGATAAGCACCGAGCCTGTGTCGAAGAAATCTACAGCGTCAAAACCGAAGATCAGACCCCTTCTTCTGCATGCTACCGTGGCAAATACGATTTATGTCCGTGGGAGAGCGCGGGGTGGAGGACCGCACAAGGGTCAAAGCCGCAAAAACCAATACACTTTTGATGCGCGGGATTTCCTGTCCCACTATCGGAATTATTATGTTGACGGTGATAGAACGACTCCTCGAGCTATGGTGGTTACTACTAGCGGGGGTAGTGAGCAAGATCAGCTGAGCGGGGAGGGTCTTTCCGATAATGAGACCAGCGGTTCGGAAAGTGAGGGAGACAAGTCACTGAACAACAGAAGGGCATCTAGCGATGACACTGGCGGCAGTAGACAGCAATATCCCTTCGTGTGGGCGAAGGACTTCGCCCTTGAAACGGTATGTATCTGTGAGATGGGTGCGAAGAAACTTGACCCAGAGGCCGACGAGGATGGAATGAACGCGCGTTTGCGGGAGAAATACTTGCCTGTAGTTGAAAGGAGCTTGGAGTTTTAATCTACTGGAGACGGGGATGATAAGATTGATGCCAGTAGTGACGGGGGTGGTGTGAATATTCGTTGACTGTTATATACCCAGCGTCAAATAATTAGACATGCTTCTAGCGAAGTAAAACGAGCATATAGATTGGAATCATTGGATCCACATTATAGAGTACATCTTGGCAACAGCCTGGCATCTAACCAAAAATAACTCCTAACTCCGCGCTGAATAGAGCACTGCCATTCATCCCCCAAATATCATTTAACTACCTCATCCGACTCATAAGAGTCTCCATACCTCTTTCCACCGACAACTCTGCTGCCTTGGCCTTGACAGCGCTGATCATGCTTCTCTCAAAGTCATCCCTTGTCCTAAGCACTGCCTCAACCCACGTCAGCTGAAGATCCCAGTATTCCATTTTGAAATCCTCGTAGACTGCAACAACGGCAGGACCCTTCTCTGATTCAAGCAGGCGAACCAACCAGTCGACGAGTCGCCACTTTTGCTTGATGGTACTGGCAAACGAGTCCGGATAGTTTTGAAAGAAGGCGAAAACGGTGAGAACGTCGTCCTTGAACTTGTCCGTGTATGGATCAGCGTGTCGCCGGAACTTGACGCCGCGGTTACGCACAGACGACAGGTACCGGACCAAGAGTTCGTCGGAGAGCTCCTCGACTAAGATGTCGACAAGAGATGGGTGAATGACAGGCGAGTAATCGGCCATGTAATCCTCGAATGTAGACGTGATCCGCTTGATGGCAAAGTCGCCATACCACTTCTGAGTGAAGAAATCGGGGATAGTAGAGCGGAAATCGACAGCAAAAACCACTTCGACGAATTGAGTAAGACAGTAGGTACTTAGATCCACGTAACCGTCGCGAAGAGCGTCCAGCTCGGGTATAGCTCGCGCCGCCATGTATTTCGGGTCGACGTGCGCCTCGAAATCGCGCTTGAACCTCGACAGGTAGCCCATTTGCCCGGATTCATCATTGTCATCGATGCAAGCAATCTGATCGTTAGCCACCGCAACAAGCCAATCCTGTAACAGCTGTAATCCATCAAGCTGGTCGCCACCTGGCGCCTTGTACTTAGCGCACTCCTCTTCGATGAGTGATTGCCAAGCGGCCTGACGTCCCTTGAGCACTCGGAACATAGAATCGATAATGCCTTCGACCAGGTCTGTGCGGGACGAGGCGGTAGCTGCCTGGATCTGTTCATGAATCATACGCCACATATCTGGAAGGGTTTTGGTGCGGAAATAGCCCTCTGCATTAGTGTCCAGAGAGTCAGGGATGCGCTCCACCAGGCCTTTCCTGTCGGTCTCTGTGATCCTCTCCATCCATTCTTCGACCGCTTTGATGATAATGCTCTGCCACTGTCGAATGAGCTCAGGTTCACGGTCATCGAGAATGTTTGGTCGCAGGTCTGCCTGTTTCCAGCCGAGTTTGTTCATCTTCTTGTAGTATTTCTCGCTCCAGTGGATAATAGAAAGTAGATTATCTGGGGGTAGCTCAGGGTCATTGATCAGATCCACGAAGAAGTCATGCATCATCCGATGGTAGATATCGGTGTATGTTTTGTAGATCTTCCACTTCTTTGGCATTAATGTCTGCATCCCCTGCTTAACAGAGAAAAGGTCATTGAAGAACCATCGAAAACTCTTCTCTAGGATATCTGGATCGCTGAGGAATTCCTCCTTGGTATTCTCAAACTGACTCTGTGCGTAGAATTCAATGGCTTGGAGAAACTTTTCTTTATAGCCCCTAACCGTTTTGGGGCCCACATTCATCGACTTGAACCGGCCTGCCAGATCCTGGTGGTCCTTCTGCGCTTCCTGCAAAGCACGAACCGTTTCATCCTTCTTCTCCTCGTTCATGACAACAACAGCCAGGCGGACAACCATACTAGGGTTGTCAGACTGCACAAGCGGGATCAGATTCATACAAGCAGTTCCCAAATGATCATCGAACCAGTCGATAACATTATCCAGACCCTGGAAGTAATCCTCCAGCGTGGCTTCACTGCTCGGGTCCTGAGCCTTCCGTATCTGATCCATTGCCTCGTCCCGGAAATCTCTCAACTTAGATATCTGCATATGAGCCCGCAGTAAATTCGGCTGGTTCTCGAGATCATCATCATCCTCTTTCAGGAGATTCTCAACCTCGGCAAGATTCTCACTAAAGTTCTCCAGCCCCTTCTTCATCGTCAAGACCGCCTCAAAGTTCCTCTGCACTTTGGCAAGTCGATCAATTTGGGAGAAATCCTCGACGCTGGATTGTGATTCCGCGCATAGTTTGTCAATCCCCTGGAGCTCATCTTTTGTCTTCGAAACCTGGCGCTGACCTTCGGTTAGCGCGCCGATGCTGCGTTGTACTGTCTCCAGTTGACCCCGGAGGCCTTCTCGGAGCTGCGAATCGACGGCTGCCTTTTTCCGCGAGTATTCCGCCCTCAGTCCGGCGATCTTGTCCAGGTCTTCTGGGTGACGTAGGATATCTTCTAACCGTGGTAGAGCCACCGTTCCTTCCGAGTCTCCGCCTCGTGCCATTTCGACGATATCATACACTAGGTAAGGGTGCTAGATCGGAATAAGATACTAGTGTTCAGTGCCCCGTCTGCTGCAGGGTCATTCAACTCGGTAACTCCTTAGTGCAATCATATAATAGGAGTGACAGGGAAGCCGTTATTAGAATATCCGTAACAACCGCAATCGCAATGTACTCAACACCGCCGCAATCAATGGTGTGCCAAGTATGCCCACTTAAAACGCACAGCGCTTTGAACTCAGATTAGTTTTCGTTCAACCGTATGTAGAATCGCAGAGAGATAGCAACAATATGCATACCACTATGTCTAATAGCAGTCAATGGCACATCCCCGCGTTTCATTCAAGCAAATAGCTTGTCAAGTTGAAACGGGGCGCTCCGCCCGCCAGCAAGACCCCGGCAGAATACTACACACGTGACTCTCCGCCTCGCAGGCCGACTGGATCGGAAAGCCAAAATTCCCGCCGTGATGGTTTGATATACAATTATCTGCCTTGGTGCGATTGTCCCATATCCCAGGATCAAAACACAGCTCCAGGCCTATCGCGATAAATTGGTCATCTGTGCCATACAACCAGACGTGAAACCACGGACCGTCCGCCGAAATTCCATTGCCAGGCCGAGCCGCGCAATTGAGAACGACTCCAAAAGAAACCTTATAACTCGCCTCTCCGACGATTCAAACCTCATACAAACAAATCATTCTCACAATGAGCTACTTCCGCGTCACCCTCGTACGCTCTGCGATCGGTCTCCCCCGGAGAACAACAGACGTCCTCAAGGCCTTGGGCCTCAAGAAGCGCATGGCGACTGTGTTCCACCCCGTGACTCCGTCAGTCGCCGGTCAGATCATGAAAGTTAAGGAGCTGGTCGATGTCCGTGAGGTCGATAGACGGTTAACGAAACAAGAAGTCCATATGGAGCGGAAGCCGGATCCAGGATACTACATCGAACAGACATCGGGTGCTGAGTGGAAGGCGAAGAGGAGTCAATAGATGTTTTATATTGATACTCTGCTTTTATTTTCACACTTTGTTCGGAAGGCTATCTGGGATACGGTAACGTTGGCTTCTATGGTCAATGCACCTGTGAAGCTGGGGTCAGTTCTGAAATTGCCTGGAACCTTTTTGCGGTTGAAATGTTTTCTGTATCTGCTTGCATGGAGCGGTCTTATTTCTTATATTTTCAGTCTTTGTTCGACATGACTTACTGTACTATACATACTTTGCTACTGTGTTATATTAGGGTACTGGAAATCTATGTGATCTCGAAGATATCGATATGTGATATTGCTCGAAACTCTTAAGGATGGACTGTCTGGTTTATTTACGTTAGTGAATGCGACGCCCGGTTTTAACGCCAGAAACGCCATTTTCCTAATTACATCGCAGCAAGGCGCGTTCTTCCATGTCATATAAGGATTATTCACATTCAAAGAATATTAACAATGCAGTTTTGCAATCAGCGAAAACCATCTAGGCTTTATACAGTGTATCCAGGAAGCCCTCTGCCAGGCGACTGACAATACTTTTATCAGGCATACTGCCGGCTACACCATACAAGGCAGCCGTATCACCACGCTTGATGATATACGACTTTCCTTGTCGCTTCCTCTCCTCTGCCTTATCCAATTCCTTCTCGACAACCTCAATGATGTCAGTAGTGAGTTGGTCGATAGCAGAGGCTGTAGGAATAGTAAACGCTACATGAATCGCTGCTGGCGATTGGAGAGCGTTGAGATGCCAGCCCTTGGCGGACAAAGCATCGGCCATGTCGTAGATGTCAACGGCGCCGTTTTTGCTCTGGAAAGCAACAACGCTGATCATGGGCTTTCCAACAACATCAAGGTTCTTCGATAGGAGCGGGTGTTCTCTAATAGACGCCTCGAACTTTTTTGCTGCACCAACAATGTCAAGGCAACTCTTGATGTAACCGGCTTCTCCAACGCTCATCAAACTGGCCCAACAGCCCGCGATAAGAGCACCTGGCCGAGATCCTGCCACGGATGGAGATGCATAGACACCGCCGGACCAGTCAGGATAGACGAAATACTGATAGCTGCGGTAGGTCCGGTTTCGGTATAGCAACACAGAGTTGCCCTTTGGCGCGAATCCGTATTTATGCGTGTCTACACTGATGCTGGTCACACCAGGAAGGCGGAAGTCAAATCCACCCTCCTCCTCATATGGAGATGGGAAGCCGGCCTTCTTGAGGAACGCAACCACAAAGGAGCCCAAGCAGCAATCAACATGCAGAGGGATCTTGTACGCTGTGGCAAGTCGGGACAAGGCAGGAATATCATCAACAATGCCATGGGGGAAGTTTGGCGCGGAGCCAACGAGGAGGACAGTGTTCGGGTTGATTAAGCGACGCACCGCAGGAATATCGACTTTGTAATCTGGAGCTGGGCAGGGTACGCGATGCAGTTTGATTCCGAAGTATTCGGAAGCCTTGTAGAAAGCAGCATGAGCGGTGTCGGGAATGATCCTGTAACTGTCAGTACGGATCAGTTTACCATAGGTAGCTTATTCTCACATTTCCGGCTCTGTTATTTTGCGTTCAGCATACGCCTTTTGCCGCGCTGCCAGACAGGCCATCAGGATAGATTCAGTGCCACCGCCCGTAGTAACACCAGCACCATCAGACGGAGCATTGAATAGTGCGAGGACCTGGGTTCGATCGCATGAGTCGTCAAATTCACATTGCTTGACAAGAAGACCCAACCTACCATAGCTACAACTTCAGCTTCCATCTTCCTGACGCCAGGGAAAACATCCGGGTGGATGGGGTTGGCGACCCCAAACTGCCCAAACGCCTCAGCCTGAAGCTTCAGAAGATCTTGTCCACCATGATACACAGCACCGCTGACGCGACCATCTTCCCACCGGGTATGCTCCATGTTTGCCAGCTTCTCAAGCTCGGCGCGGATCTGTTCGGGGGTCCATCCTTCTTTAGGCAGATTCAAATATCTCGTGACACCAGGGCCGGTTGCAACAAGCTTTGTCTCCAGGTTTTCGATTGCTGACGAAACCTGCTTATCGACCTGACCGCGGACACCAGGGAAGCGCAGGAATATGGAGTAGCAGAAGAGACGGATCGCGGCGTAGACATGTCGGAGGCTACCGAGGACACCATAACCGCGTAAAGAATAGAACGTCTTGCGAACGTAGCGAAGAATAAAAACTAAGAATACGATGTTTTTAAGACTGTTGTTCCATTAGAGAGACAGAGGACCAAGATGGAAGTCTTAGGAACCGTGCGTGCGGATGCCTACAAGCTGTTGGGGACGGCGGGGAGATGGAATGATGTTCCACTTACATCTCCAAATTCAACGCCGCCAACTGCGCATTAGGAGCTCTGCTGTATCCCAGCAGCTTATTTTGTAAAGCGACTGGAAGAACTGAGGACGCCATGGCGATGTTCAAAGCAGTCTCGAAGACTGATAAGAAAGTAAGATGACCTCCAAAGATAACAGATAGCGAGTATGGACTATGTGTGGAAGCGTCGGAATTGACGTTCCAGGGAAATGGGGTCTAGAGGGAAGCCGCCGTTAAGAATGCCGATGATTCCACCACAGCCTCGGCTGCTGCCGCACATGCAACCTCTTGCCCAGCGTTGCATCATCGCCCGTCCTGCAGAATTTAGTTTCCCCGGGTTTTCTAGTCTTGCCTACTAGGCCCTGACTAGCGTCCAAATTACATTTATACAGTAGCACTTTGCAGCCGAAGCGGTCTGTAAGCGAGCCCAAACAGCCAAGGTTAATGACGAAATAGTTTTCTGCGTTCAGTGTATCAGAGGAAAAATGCAGTCATCTAAGTCTGCGTATATACAAACTCCTCCAGACCAACGCGTCCCGAACACCTGTCTCTCCTTGCTTTTTTCACATCCATGGACAAGACTTTTGAATACCCGATAACAATGAAGCCCGAGACGCATGAATAAACATCAAATCATGAAAAAATCGCATCTTCGTCGGGAGCCGCTGAGATATGAAAGTTCTAAAACACTGGGCCCTTGAATCCAAAGATGTAATTCCGAAATGCAAAGGGGAAATAAGAAACACAAAAGGGAGAAAAATATAGAAAGGGAGGCGAACAAATCTGAACCAAGCTAAGCGGCATCGTTTAAGCCACAACACCGGAAGCAGCAAGTTCCTTCTCCTTGGCAGCAAACTGAGCCTGCTCATCAGCCGTCAGATCAAGGAGAGGCTTGTTCTCACCCGACTTGAGGTTACGATAGTAAGCACGGATGATACTGTCAGCATCGTCGACGGCAATGGGACGGATATCAGCAAGAGCCTTGATCTTAGCGGTGCACTCCTTGTATTGGCTGTCAGTCATCTCAATCTTGAGCTGCTGAGCACGAGACTTGATAGCGTTCCAGCCAGTCAGACGAGAGGCGAAGTGAACGTATCTGGTCATGCCGAAGTCGGCAGGGTTGATGATCTCGTAGGTGCTAGGGTTGTTCAGGATGGCCTTAGCGTGGATACCAGCCTTGTGGGTGAAAGCACAGAAACCGGTGATGTAGTTGTTGAAAGGAATGTTGACCTCGACCGCCTCGGCCACGAGATCCTCAATGTCCTTGAGCTTCTCCAGCTTGTACTTGCTCTTGACGTAGGCGGGGTCGGCAACCATCATACGAGCCATGAGACCACCAAGAGGGGTGATACCGTTACGCTCACCGATACCGAGAACGGAGGTATCGATGTGAGTGGCACCAGCCTCTAGGGCACAGTAGGCGTTGGCAATGGCACAGCCAGTGTCGTTGTGGAAGTGGGTCTCAATGTCGCAGCCAACAACACCCCTCAGGACACGAACAAGCTCGTAAACCTGGCGAGGAGAAGCGCAACCGACGGTATCGGCAATACCAACACGGTTAACACCAACCTTGTCAACGGCGGAGTAGATGGACAAGAGGTCGACGAGGTCAGAACGGAAGGAGTCCTCACTAGAGAATCGAATCTCGATACCCTTGGACTTGACGTATTCAATAACTTCAATAGCAGTGTTCTTGATGTAGGTCATATCCTTACCGTGAGAGTGCTCACGGAGGTAGGACGACGTGCCGATGACAACATCACTAGACACTGTAAGAATGAGAGGTTTTAAAAGAAGTATGGGCATACTTACACTCCGTCAACACCAGTCTCGACCGCAACACGGGCATCGTCCATGTGGCAACGGATGTGAGTAAGAATCTATGGAGTGGGTTAGTGCCGTCCAAAGATAGGAGAACAACTATGAGGAATCCAACGTACCTTGGCCTTTAAGCCGAGCTTGCAGATGGCCTCGCAGTCAAGTCTCGACTGCTCAGAGGCACAAGGGCTGGTAAGTTCAATCTAGAACAGGCAATATGTTAACAAGCATGATCAAACCACAGTTCGTATGAATGTGACTCACGTAGTCAACACCAAAGTCATCCAGGGCCTTGGCGATTTCGATCTTCTTTTCGGTATCAAAGAAAGCATTGGCGAACTGTTCACCCTCACGAAGGGTACTCTCAATGATCTTAAACCGGGAGACATTGCTCAAGAAGTCGGTTACGCCAACGTTGTGGCCGTAGGGGTTCCGGGAGGCGGAGGGGTGGGGGTTCTGGCGAGTCTCGATGCCAGTGAAGCCGGGGTGTTCGCCTTTCGGTAGAAGTCAGCCAAGTATAACAACAATAAATGCTTTCCAGACATACCATTGCCATTGGCAGCGGTCGTGTGCCCATTGGGCTCGTTGTCTGCACCAGGGCACATTGTGACGATATCTATAGATAGTGGGGTCAAGTCTAGAAGTTGTATGGGAGAAAAAGACGCTGGAACGAGGTTGAAGTTAGATCAAGTTGGACGAGGTATAGGTAACTATATATAGCAGTACTCACAATGAGTCACAGGCTAAACGATCAAATGTTTATATGAAATATCTGGGAGATAAAAAAAAAAGGGAAGCAAGAAAAGAGTCATAGACAGGGAAAGTGGGTGGAGTCCATTTAAAAGGCGGGCGGTCTACTCTTTTCGGAGGTATGACTCGGCCGTCCACTTCACAGATGTGCGGCAATGTACGAAAATTTCACAGGCCGAGCACTTTTGTGTGGGGAATCCCTTGTCCAGAGCGCTTGCGGAAGCCCCAATTGCTCATCTTTGAGGATCTTCCCCAGCCCCGAAGTGGCTTAGCGTAGTGCAGTAGTAATACGCATTACTATTCAGCTTTGATATCGTCTGTTAGGATCATCGAGGGAGAGAGTTTTGCCACCCCAGACAGTGTTCGAATTTGCACCAATTGTCAATAAGTGACTCTTGGAATATTAGATTTTTGCCCCTCTTTAAAGATGTAGTAGTATGTACAATACGCATGTAATATTACCATCAATACCTGTGCGTTGGGTTTTTGCTAGGTCAACTACTAGTAGGTAGTATGTCCCCTGTCCATAGGGGGGTAGGTGGGTTTCTCCCAATGAATTCCATACTGCCAACCGACATCGGCATTGGTGGTACGGAGGGGCGCTTAAACAACTAACCCGTGGGCACCTTCATAATCTCTAAGATTACACCTTCTGAGTAAGTAGAACGCAGGGCATTACCCTCGAGTGGAAGGGAAAAAAAAAAAAAAAAAAAAAAAAATTAGGTTCTAGAAAGCACACAATTGATAATCAAGATACTACCACTAGTTAGTATCACTAACTAGGCACTCGCTACGTCTGCTTACATATCTACTCCACTAGTTAACCACCTACCACGGCTTACCTGCTCGAGCTAATTAATATGGCTTCTGATAGTTAGTACTGATTGACCGGATCACTGTAATCTAGCCCATACGTGACATTGGAAAATGTGATTACTTGGGTAACTTTGGCGACTACTAATAGTACACCAAACCTTCACCGGTTTCGTCAACGTCATCCATGCTCTCCGACACCGCCCTTGATTGCCTAGGCGATGGAGACAAAAGTGCCAATCTCAGGGCACGGGTGCGGGCGCCGCGGGCGTACTAATGGACTTTCTTCGCTTTCCGGTTGGTTTGACCCATCGGACGAACCGTACCAAGTACTAGTACCACTACTGGTAATGGATAACCCACCCAAGCCAAGAGTATTAATACCTCAAGCAGTAATATAGTGGATCGTGGTTATACTTATATGAGAGCCCAATGTGCTTTCAACAGCAGAGAGAAAGACGAAAGTCAAAATTCATACTACTTATGCCCCTTCATGTTCTTATGACCCACTCCTTGAAGCACGGGCGTGTTCTGGGAAGGATGCTGAGTGATCCAGATCGATAGAACAAGCATCCATGATTCATTATCTCCCCCAGCTCTTTAGCCTCATAGAATCCTGCCTGAATGCAAATCTTGCAGTGCGCTCCATTTCATTATATAAGTCAGGATCCGGCACTTCTGACAAACCCGAGTCGGTGTCGTCTGTATATTTCTTCAACGCTGAGGCGGCATTGGAATGGTAAAATTCGCTTCTACTTTTGCGCAGACGCTGGCTCTTGGATTTCCCAACTCCGTACCCTTTACCTCGAGACCCCATAACACTCCCGAGCCCAATCCTTCTGCTCTCCCGCATGCCAAAGAATAGACCAGCCACAACAATGATAATGACACTAAGGCTTACCGGGAGACCAATAAACAAGGCCGTTTTGTTGAAAGTCATGGGAGGAGAAGGTTTGTAGTGTTCTACAGGTTTAGGATGAAGCGTGATCATCGGTCCCTTCCGAATACTCGCCCGTGTGCCCGATGCAGGGTTCAGTTCGATAAGATAGAGTGTTAAATCATTCTGCGCCTTCCCCTGGAGCCATTCCTTGCGCATGTAGAGGGGAAGATACCCGTAGCTGTTGTCGGTTTTGTCAGATGTGAACGCCGAGTCTCCAACGGTGGTGTTTGAGTATCTCATCTCAATAGTAATAGAAGCATTGAGCGGATAAAAATCGGCATTCCAGGTAACATAATATGTGGCGTCTACTACAACATTGGCTCCATCCTGCGGGAGACAGAATGGTGCGAAGGGGCCATCGAGGTCAGTACAGACGGGGAAATCATCGAGAGAAGTATCATTTATCTGCAGGTGTGCAGTTGTTTTGGACTCTTGAATCCAATCCACCGCTGAAGTAGTGGTTAAATTCTCCTCGAGAATTCCAGATTTAGAAGAAAGTGCTTACCAGGACTAGGTTCGAGATCATTTGCTCCTTGTATCGCAGCGCCAAGGCAATAACTATATAGAGCAGCTGTTGTGGCTGCCAATGGGATGACATTAGAGACTGGAACGAGGGGCCACCTCATTGCTACTAGTACAGATGCGTATATGGAAATCCGCAGTAAAGTGATGTTTGAGTAATGACGCTTGATGAGCCAAAGGTACTGCATGATAGCTACATTATGAAAACGGTAGTAGGATACTTTGAAGGGGTAAAAGACCCTTGAGGAAGGAGGACCGGGGGCATGGAGTACAGAGAAGGTGCCGATGAAAATAATGTTATATCGTATATGGTATATTCCGTGCCACCTTCCAGAATTATCCATTTTTTTTAAGCATATTTCTTTCTCCGTTGTCCTCTTGATAATTAACATCTCTCCCACTACGTTTTCTTTCTATCCTTCCTCTATAGTTTGCTGGTTTTGAGCCAGATCCGCAGCTAAGAAAGATCGCCAGAGTTTATATGAAGCCTCACACGTAGCAAGACTTGTTCTCTCACATGGTATGAAAATGGGAATAGCAGTTGATAGAAAGATCTCTGATAAAATTTCCCTAAAACCCCTATCTAGTAAAGAAGAGGTAATTTTATCACGGCGGTTATCGTTTACAAGAAGGTAAAAGCAAAGACGTTGGTGAAAAGGTCAGTGATGTTCTGTTTGTTTCTTGGTAAATTCCATTGTAGTCTATGCATAACATTCGTACTATGGGAACTTGTCAAGTGGGTTTCCTTCCCCCGCGACGGAACGTGATTCGCTCCGCTTCTAGTTTAGCCTCCGTTAGGCCCTTGCCGCGGAGAGACCAGCTTTACCTTTATGTCTATCGTGGCCCGTTTCACTCTTCCACAACTCAGGTGCCTCGTCTTCCTCGCTGCCTGCTGTCCGTACTTTGGCCTCCTAATCGTCCATCTTCCCTCCAGAGTGCGCTTGTCTTTTCAATAGCCAACCCAGGTTCGTATTTTGAAATATTTTGTAGTCAGCTATCGATCCCTTAGTTGCTGACCTACGCGTCATTGTTGTCTCTAGCATCATGCGTTTCATCCAGCTCCTCCCCATCCTCCCAGCGCTTGCTGCGGCGCAAGAGCAGGTTCCCCTCGCGGATCGCGTCCAGGGTTGGTTCAACAAAGCCAAGGAGTTTCTGCCCACGGCTACTCCGGTGATCCCCGCTGCTGTTGAGAAGGTGGTCGAACAGAAGATTCAAGAAAAGACTGTCACCCCTTTCAACCTGTCCAACTGGCAATCCCTCCTGGCGCCATCTGATGAGCCCAAGGACTGGTTTGTCTTTATTACTGGCGGAAACAAGACATGCTTTGGACGTTGTCATCAATCGGAGAAATCGTTTAACGTAAGGGTCCAAAAATAGGGGTCGCGGGCGCATGGACGTAAAGGCGGGTCTGGCTAACCTTTCTCGTTTAGGAATCCGTTCTTCTGTTCTCTGCTGATCCAACCTCGCCCAACCTTGGTTACCTGGACTGCGAATCGAACCGGGTCCTCTGCTCTGCCTGGGCCGCTGGTGCTCCATCCGTTTCGTACTTCAAGGTCCCTGCTCAGGTCGGCGAGGAGCGCCCTGCCACCGCTCAATACAATGTGTACTTCAACTCGACAACTGTAACGGCAGAGTCCCTTTACAAAATTCACTCTGAGAAGACCTATGAGAAGCGGGGCGCGTACGAGGGCTCCTTCCATGTTACGGATAGCTGGCTTGCGGAGAAGGGACTCTTGATCCCTGCAGGCTATGTTATCTATGCCTTCAGCGCAATCCCGAGCTGGCTGTTCATGATCTTCATCAGCTTCTTCAGTCGGTCTATGATGTGAGTTTAACTGATCCGATCGATCGCTATCTTTTACTGACTATCTGGAATAGGGGCCGCCGAATGGGAAACACGGGAGCCCCCGCTGCTCGCTAATTAAACATCGCTGTTCATGAGGATGATGATGTCTGCTTCGATGTTTATGGTCAGGGATGTATATAATGAACTAGCAGTATCTAAGATAAACTTGGATAACGTTTGGGCCTTGGTCACATTCCCTATTCTCACGCTTGCTCTCCTCTTACAGATATTTAATATATATATAAAAAAAATACAAATAAATAGAACTATGGTCATGTATCTAGTAAATTTTAGAGTAAACCCTTGTAAGCCTCAATCTGAGCAAACAAAAAGAAAAGCGGTCATTGTTGACTGGAGGTACCCGCACCCACCAAACCGGGTTTAATTCCGCGCGGATCACAGAAAACCCATCCATCCAGCTTCAACACACCTTCCAAAATGGCCGACCTAGACCACATTCCCCCCTCAACAACGGCATATGTAGTCGCTACAGCCATCATCGCCGGCGTGACTGGCTACTTCATCGGACAAGGCTCCTCGCTAGGCCTGTTCTCGAAAGAAAAAGAAGGGTGGCCAAACAGCTACAATGTGAAAGTGCACCAAGACTCCTCGGACGAAGAAGAGGAAGAGGAAGAGTCCGACAGCGAGGACGAAGGCGATGGAAGCGAATTGGCCAACTTCGACAAGAGTGCTGAAGAGGTGAAGCTGGTTCTGGTTGTGAGGACCGATTTGGGCATGACGAAAGGCAGGCGCCTCCCTCTCTTTTCTTTTCGGAGTTTCTGTTTCTACAGCTGTTTAATGACCTACGCGACTTGGAGTCTTTGCTTCGCTCTCTTGACTCTTCTATGGTGCATGATGCATACGAACGAGATGGCTAACGTATTGTTGATAGGCAAAATCGCCGCTCAATGCTCCCATGCTACCCTTGCCTGCTACAAGTACCTCACTGCGCACTCACCAAACTCGTCTATGCTGCGCCGCTGGGAATCGCAGGGACAGGCTAAGATCGCGCTGCAGACCAAGTCGGAGGAGGAAATGGAGACACTGCAGGCGCAGGCTATCAGCCTGGGTCTCTGCGCCAGGGTCATCACAGATGCGGGACGGACACAGATCGCCAGTGGAAGCCGGACGGTGCTTGGAATTTTAGGACCAAAGAGCGTGGTCGACGGCGTGACGGGACACTTGAAGTTGTTGTAACCGTACTTCCAGAGTTGAATGAAAGCCGAGTAATGTAGTTACTCCAGCAACGCATCCCGGATAGTGAGGTTTAGAACCAACAGCACTACGCCTAAATGCGTGGTATACGAAGCACTCTGCTACCTTCACGAGAAAGATGCCCGAGCGATCAGTTACACTGCAAGATAGTCTACTAATCACTTCTATCTAGCATACAGCTGCAGTAAAATTACGTAGTAACAAGGAATGTATGTTGGCTGGCCATGGTTTTTCCCTAACCTCATGGGCCAACGGCCAAGTCGGTGAAGGGAGTAGGAATATGACGCCGCCGAGCACCAGGCTCTCCAGCCGAGCTCACCGACCCCGAAGGGAAAGGAGCTCAAGACCAGAGCGAACACCCAATGTCGACCTTTAATCTGAGATCTGTCGACCGGAAATAATCGACCATCCAAGAATGTGATGGCTCCTTAAGTCGTCGAACTGTCCAGTAATCAACCGAGACGCAGAGAACAAGCCTCCACGCTCAGGATCGCTGGACACAGATCCGTGTGTGTTCGAAAAAGAAGAAGAAAAGAAAAAATTTCTGAGCTCCAGCCGCTGCCGCCTTTTATCTCTCGCGCTAAAGCATGCGCTAACGGGTTTGCCGCGCTAAACCTTACCGAGACGAGTTTCAGTTAGGTAAGCCCCGTCTGGACCTCACCTTCTGGTAATCTATCGATGGTAATCGGGCGCTTGGTCTCTAATCGGTTTTACAGACCACACCCTTCTATCGCCGCTTTGGGTCTTGTGTCTTTTTTAACCCAGTGTGTTTTTTTTTTTTTATTTCCTTGATAACGCTCACCTGTCGCCAATATGGCCGACGCACTTTCCATCGAGCAGAATAACAAAATCCGAGTGGCGCTGGGTTTAAAGCCGCTCCCCGTCCCCGGTGCCGACGCCTCTGGTCCTACTTTCAAGGACTCCGAACACGACGGCTCGAGCTCATCTTCCGAAGATGACGAGCCGGGAAGTACACTCGAGTCGCGCGAGGCGCTGGCCTCCTCCAACTGGAAGAAGATGCAGGATGAAGCCGAGGCGAAACGGAAACGGGAAGAGCGAAACGCCGCGATCAGAAAGGCGCGTGAGGAGGCTCAGAGAAATATGAAGCTTCAAGGTGCGACTCTAGGAGAAGCTGCCGATGCGGAGGTGGACACGAAGACTTGGCTACAGCAGACGAAGAAGCGGCAGAAGAAGATCGAGAAAGAGCGCGCGCGCAAACTCGCAGAAGAACTGGAGGAGCGGGCTCGTGCAGCTGAATACACTGCGGAAGATTTGGCTGGTGTCAAGGTTGGGCATGCTGTTGGGGATTTCGATGGTGGAGAGGATCATATTCTTACGCTGAAGGATACGACGATCGATGAGAACGAGGAGGAAGGAGACGAGTTGGAAAATCTGGAACTTAAAGAGAAGGAGAAAACTACAGAGAAGCTCGAGCTGAAGAAACGCAAACCCGTTTATGATCCTACGGAAGAAAATACCGGAATACTCGCACAGTACGATGAGGAAATCGAGGGCAAGAAGCGGAAGCGGTTTACACTCGATGCCCAAGGATCCACTGCCGAAGAGCGAGAGGCTATGCGACAAGAAGTCTCGGAGAAATTGAAGAAGAATGTTATCAGCCTTGATTTTGCGGAGGAAACGCCAATCTCTGATTATATGGACGTGAGCGAAATCAAGGTGAAGAAACCTAAGAAAAAGAAGGCCAAGACGACAAAGCAACGTGCTGTTATGGACGAGGATGATATATTCCCTACGGCTGAGGCGACGGGTACACCAAATGGGAGTTCCATGGAAGTTGATGCAAGTAACGGAGAGCCAGTACCCGCTCCTGCCTCCCGCAAGTCCCTTAACGAGGATATCTCGTTTGTGGATGACGATGATCTACAAGCCTCTCTTACGCGGCAGAGGCGTGCTGCTTTCAAGAAACGCCAGAAAGCACGTCCCGAGGACATCGCACGACAGCTCAGAGAAGAAGCGTCGCAGACACCGATGGACGTGGAAGGCTCGGGCGAGAATGAGGAAGAACCCGGTCTGGTCATAGATGAAACCTCAGAGTTTGTGTCTAACCTACAGAAACCTACGCTCCCTGAACGCCGTGAAAGGCGGTCAACAACGCCGGTGGAGGAGCCCCGTGCTTCGTCTGAAGGTCCTGGTATGAAGGATGAACCTGTGGAGGACGGTGACGTGGATATGGAACGTTCATACAATGATATCGAGGACGAGGAAGATCTCAAAGCGCGCATCAAGAGCGAAGAAGCCACAGCGAACCAGCAGATCAGTGGCACCGGCTTGGAAGAAGAGTCCACACTGGACCAAGGTCTTGGTGCCACATTGTCGATGCTCAAGCAGCGTGGCTTGGTCAAGTCATCCGATGCTGCCGACCATAATTCTCTCATCCGTGATCGGCAGCGTTTCTTACAAGAAAAGAATCGCCTCGAAACCGAAGCTGAAAAACGTGCCCGTCTGCAGCGTGAGCGTGACCGAGCTTCCGGAAAGCTCAACCAGATGTCTGCTCGTGAAAGAGAAGAGTACGCGCGGTGGGAGAACAAGCAACGTGACCAGCAGGATGCTCGTCATATGGCGGAAGTCTTCAACAAGGAATACAAGCCCGATGTGCAACTCAAGTACGTGGATGAGTTTGGCCGTATGATGAACCAGAAGGAGGCATTCAAGCATCTGAGTCACCAGTTCCACGGCAAGGGCAGTGGTAAGATGAAGACGGAGAAGCGACTGAAGAAGATTGAGGAGGAAAAGAAGCGAGAGGCAATGAGCGCATTAGACAGCAGTCAGCATACGGGCATGAATAATGCTATGGGAGCGACGGCCCGGAAGAATCGCCAGGCTGGTGTGCGACTGGGATAAATGGCTGCCACCATTATTCGCCTATTGACACTCTACGCCATATTTTCTTTGTGATGCCCATGCAGTTTAATTCCTAGTTTTCGTTGTACAGCTTATGGTATACCAAGAATAGAAACAATATTTACCTATCCGCGACTGTTGCCCCCTGTTCACTGCCGAAAGTAGATCCTTGTCGCCGGGCCCAGCTGTTCAGGGAGTGGGAGAAAGTCCAGAGCAGGAAGCAGTTAGCTTGTTTGCGCCCTTCATTGCTGTTGTTTATTGACGATCATTAACTTGGCGTGTGGGGAAATTAACCGCGATGGAGCTGTCAGATTCCGAAAGTTCCTCTTAACAGGCCGTACGAATGTGGCAGACGGTGTGCTAGTAGGAATGATTCTTTATGGGGAGAAAACAGTAGGACTCTCAATTATCTTTGGGTTTAGAACCCCGTTATATATCCTTGAGCATTGACTTATGGAGCTTGAGGAGGACAACAAAGAATGTTCACTTCAGGCCGACTCCAATTTACCCCAAACTTTCCGTGAGGGGAAGCGTTTCCCAAAAAGGAATCGGGAGGCGCTCCCGAGGGCTGCGGCCTCAGGCCACAGTGGGCCAGAATTCTGAAAGAGCTCACCGAAAACCGAAAGCGCCGAACGCAGTGGCGCCATGCTTAAACCGTCAGGGACTTTTTAGAGGTTCCGTTAGTTACCTATTCTTCTTGCCTAACGATCATACTATCACTCGGATCTGTTATCAGATTTATTATCCCCGAGTGGAAGGAGTGTATGGGTATGGTATGATAGTATGATATACCGCGATCGGCTTGCCGAAAGATGGTCCATGAATAATTATTATTTTTTTTTCCCTTCTCCAAATAAAAACAGGATCGATACAAGGTTCCTCCTACTACTACTAGTTAGTCATAGACGGTTTATGCATCTCGAGTAAATTAAAGTCAAAATCCCGCCCGAGCTGACACAAGCTGGAATTGATCAATTTAACCGTGAGTGCGGAGAGGGCGACCAATCCGAATCGGTGGCTCGCGCTCCCCGGAATCTTCCTAGTTCACATGAGTCGAAAAATGACACACACGCAGCATCTCCGATTATTTATCTGCTCGCCTCCTTGTCCGATCTCTTTCTTCTCTCCTTGGAATCTTTTCCATCTCGAGGTCCTCTGCAGCTGACTCTGCAATTGATTGGATTTCTTTTGTTTAGATTTTTTTTTTTTTTCCCTTTCCATTCACCATGCTGTCTACCCTCAGAGTCGCCAGCCGTAGGGCTGCTTCGCGTGACGCTAACATGCGCACCGTCGTCGTTGGTGCCAGACATGCCTCGGCCTGGTCCAACGTCCCTCAGGGTCCTCCGGTAAGCTCTACAGTGCACCGCCAACGTCAATTGCGTGTCACAATTAACTCAATGCCTTTTAGGATGCTATCCTTGGTATCACCGAGGCTTTCAAGGCCGACTCGTTCAAGGAGAAGATCAACCTGGGTGTTGGCGCTTACCGTAAGCAGTCATTTCTTTGCCGCTTGTTCACTGAATCCAACTAGCTCATGGCGAGCTTGTCATCTACTTCAGGGCTGACATTGTGAATCAATAGGTGATGACAAGGGCAAGCCATACGTTCTGCCCTCCGTTCGTGCCGCAGAGGACAAGGTTGTCGCCTCCCGCTTTGACAAGGAGTACGCTGGTATCACCGGTGTCCCTTCCTTCACCAAGGCCGCTGCAGAGCTGGCCTATGGCAAGGACTCCTCTGCCATTAAGGAGGACCGCCTCGTCATCACCCAGTCCATTTCTGGTACCGGTGCCCTGAGAATCGGTGGTGCTTTCCTCAAGCGCTTCTACCCTCATGCGAAGAAGATCTACCTCCCTAACCCTAGCTGGGCCAACCACAACGCTGTCTTCAAGGACTCCGGTTTGGAGGTTGAGAAGTACCGCTACTACAACAAGGACACCATTGGTCTCGACTTCGAGGGTCTGATTGCCGACATCAAGGCCGCCCCTGAGAACAGCATCATCCTTCTCCACGCTTGCGCCCACAACCCCACCGGTGTCGACCCCACCCAGGAGCAATGGCGCCAGATCAGCGATGTGATGAAGCAAAAGGGCCACTTTGCCTTCTTCGATATGGCCTACCAGGGCTTCGCTAGCGGCAATGCTGACCAGGATGCTTTTGCCCCCAGGCATTTCGTGAGCGAGGGCCACAACATTGCCCTCTGCCAGAGTTTCGCCAAGAACATGGTAAGAGTACAGGTACCGGAAGGTAGAAACTAGTAGCTGATCAGTCATAGGGTCTCTATGGTGAGCGTGTCGGTGCTTTCTCCCTTGTTTGTGAGAACACCGAAGAGAAGAAGCGTGTGGATTCTCAGATTAAGATCCTCATCCGCCCCTTCTACTCGAACCCTCCTATTCACGGTGCCCGTGTTGCCTCCACCATCATGAACGACCCTGAGCTCAACCAGCAGTGGCTGGGAGAGGTCAAGGGCATGGCCGACCGCATCATTGAGATGCGCTCCCTGCTCCGGAAGAACCTGGAGGACCTGGGCAGCAAGCACGACTGGTCGCACATCACCAGCCAGGTAAGGAGCTCTTTGGATGAACATATCGACAGATACTAACTCACCTTGCCATAGATTGGTATGTTCGCCTACACTGGTCTTAAGCCCGAGCAGATGGATGCTCTTGCCAAGGAGGTACGTAGCAATTATTGGTACAGTCGCTTTCCGAAGACACCCATCACTAATGTTTATTCTAGCACTCCGTCTACGCCACCAAGGATGGCCGTATCTCCGTTGCCGGCATCACCTCTGACAATGTCAAGAGACTTGCCGAGTCTATCTTCAAGGTGACTGGTTAGAGAAAGGGTGTTGAGGCTGGAGTTTATCCTTAAAATACATAGATCTACCGGGGTGTGGCCCTTTGTATTGATATCCGACATGTTTAATTTAGCATATTCTTACGAGCACTATATTATGTTCTGAATTCTCTTGGATGGTGTATGTACTGTGTGCGTAAATGGACGTATAATTGTACCCAAGTCAGGTAGGACGAATCAGTGAAGGACCAAACGATGGTCATCCTCCGTGATATTGATCGGGCTTGTAACCAAATCACTACCGCCGGGCTCTAAATATTGAAATACTTAGATTCAGAACAGGAGCGCTGGCAGAGTTAGTGATTACACAATTCAGCATATTCACTCTACCTTAACCATAATAAAAGCGAAAAAAAAAAATATAGCTAGCTATGCTACATAGAATGTCGATAGAACTGAGTTAGCAGCCGGGCGCGGGCGCACTAACTATATGGAGCTGCGAGCGAGATATAGAGTGCCGCGTGAGGTGCGTAGTGTTTGTGGTAAATCTTCATTCAGCCACAGACTTTCTATTATGAAAATCCTAGTGATCAATCTATGTGTAGCATGGAGACCGCAGATTCACATGGGATATCTTACTCGGGATACAATATGCCGAGGTTCTAACCTCGCTGCTTCTCTAGATACACACACGTAAACTCATCAAACAGTCGAACATCCAAAACCATCCTCCGGGGCATTCTGATCGAGCATGAATGATACTTTGACAGATGCAGCCTAGAGCGTTGATAGGGTGATATTGAACACCTCAATATTGTTTATGGCTGAATTGATTTGGCTACAGAAAGTATACAGGATAGACTGGAGATAGTAGGATCTTGAGAGACGGTAATTTGATATTCATTGTATTTATCTATACAGGATTTGACAGCGTTCCAGATAAGGTTCTATCTTGGAAGTACCTGCACAGCTAGACATTAAGTAGTTAGGCGCTAACGGGAAGTAGACTCTTGATTGATGGATTAGTTGTAGATGAGGTGCCTTTACCGGAAGAGAGGAGGCCGAATCGGAGAAAGACTTCGGAGGTGGTGACGAGGATGGAGATGATGATTAGGACGATGATGATCCAGGTTTGGTCTTGACGGGTCAGTCGTTTGTTTGGAAAGGATAGAATGAGGGTACTTACGGGAGGTTTTGCTGTCGGCTATTGAGTCTGAGAGAATTTCGGCGAGGTCGAGGAAGACACGGCAACGTTCGTTTAGGACCTGAATTCGTGGCTTGATTTCGAGGTACTCGCGGACGGCGATGTACAGTGGGTATAGGGTTGGTTCGCTTTCCCAGAAGAAGTTGGGGACGTCTAACATGTTGGAGGCTGTTGGTTGTTTGTAAGTACTGGGATCTTGAGTATGTAGGTTGTGGTATAACTTACAGAGATTGACCTCTACCCTGCTTTTGAATAAGCTTCCCAGGATTCTGAATACTTCTTCCCGTTTCATGCCCAGTTTGCCGGTCATGGCGAGCCTACGTGGTACGTCCTTTGCTTCGGCCATTTGCCTGGCCATGACTTCTTCGAAGAAGCAGAGTTTGGTGCTCTGAGCAATGCCATGACTGATAGCCAATTTGATCATGTGGTCACCGCTTCGTAGTGTAATCATGTCGTTGTATACGCGGGGGCGAGAGATTTCGGTCGAATATTCGAAATGGAACTCCTCCGTTTCGAAATCCTCTTCCTGTAAAGGCATAGTGGCCAGCGGAATGGGAGTTCCAGTCACGGACGACGTCGCAAACGCAAGATCGGCGAGGAGATCCTTCTCTTGCCTGTCTGTGAAGTTCCAAAACACCACCACGCCATAACTGAAAACAAACATCTCTGCCACGTTGTATAGCAATCGTGTAGGCTCCGGTGGTCCAACGAGCGCTTGGCTATGATCATAAGCTGCGCCATCAGTAGCTTCGGCCCTGGTCTCCGAACCTGCATGGTAGCCCTCTTGGCCATGTCCAGGGGTCTCGCTATCACTGTGTTGCTCGCCATGCTCGCCACGGCCGCCGACAACCGAATGCTCCTCTGCTTCCGGCATGTAGTCTTCATGGTGATCACGAAGCTCATTCCGCTCGATTTCTTCATCTAGAAGAGATTTTCCACCAGGCTTCTTCACAACCGGACTACTTCTGAGCCTGTAACCTCCATGACCGGGTAACAACGGCAAATGGTACGCGGTATACAGGCAATCGTCGTAGAGCTTCGTCTTTCCTCCATGTCTCTCCTTAACAAACGTCGCCAGGGAACTCATCTTATAAGCCTGTGCAGTACAGTAGGCAGTCACACGGGCCAATTTCCCTGCACGACGAGTCTTTGGTAACCGCTCTGCATAACTTTTAGCCTTCTCCGGCGCAACCTTCCGGCGGCGCAATAGCTCCTCCTCTGCCAGCAGGGGCGCAATGTCATTGTCAACGCCAAATTCCCCGCCAAGCCTCTTCTGTGTTAATAGTCGTTGCCTTACGATCTCGACATCGATGTTTTTGTCCTTCGCCAGTCTCTGAACCAGCTCCTCATCCACAGCCTCTTCGTCAACATCTTCCTCCTCATCTTCTGACAGCTTATTATCCACGTCTTCCGACTCGGGAAGAAGTACCAATTTTTCACTAACTTTTGTTGATCGAGGGGGTAAGCGGGGCTGAGCTGCGAGACGGCCCATCGTTACCGCAGTACTTGCTGCGCTGGTACCGCCGCTGGATGCACCTGCCATGCCTGAGCCAATTAAGCCACCCGTTGCGGACGCAATACGCGACCGCGGACGGGCTCGCGACGGTTGGGGTGGATGACGTTGTTGCATTGAGGGGACATCCGATGTATACTGGAGCACGTTGTCGACTGTGATGAAGCGTGTAGATGGAGAACGACGACGGCGAGGTTGGGCAGATGGTTGCTGCTCACGCGAGTCGGTTACCTGAGATTAACGCCAGGTGAGTACAATTGCAAACACATGTGTACAAAGGAACCCGCAATATGTGGTCAAGTGAGGCTTGATATCATCTTAGTACGTACCAACACATGGGGGCTCCTTTGGCCAGGCACACGCCCTCTTGCGGGGTTCATGGTCGAACTGTTATAAAAAAAAAAAAAAAAGAATATAAAGATAATTGATAAGCTCCAATAAAGTTGATAAGCTGATAGAATCCGTAGCTTGCCGCAAGCTTCTTCTGAGAGTTGCTTAGGCAGGCCTCTCGTATGCCCGGATAAGATGATGCGAAGTGAGAAGTGTTAATCGGCTAAGTTGAGAGAAGGTTGCAGGGGATGTCAGGTGATGGAATTGTGACGATCTAACTGGTCATTCTGTGGTTGTACTATTCACGTTTCTGAAGGAATAATATTGAGGTATAGAGCAGGACCCCGAGACCGCTTGTTAGCTAGAGCCCGTAAAGCAGCAAGTACATTATCTTCTACACGGATTGTAGAGTCAAATGTTGGGAACTTGGAGTTAGCTCGCTGGCCGATGAAGTGACAACTGCTACTCATGGACCTGTAGTAGTGTGTGTCTGGGGAGAAACAAAGAAGCGGACGCAAGAAGGAGGCAAGAGGATAGCACTACTCGTTAGCTATGGAAATTGTTGGAACTTGTTATATTCGGACGGGTTGGCGCCTACACCAATCTCTACTTACCTCTAGTGAGCTCAGGCCTCTCTGCGCGTTATGCAACCACTGCTTATATAAACGAGTTATGTCCATAACTATGGACCCACTCGGCAACCTTGGAAGCCCTTTTGATATCTGTTAATCTTGACTACATAACCTCCACTGATAGGATAAAAATATGCTATTACTGCCATGGGACAGGCTGCGCGCAAGGACGTGCAAACTGAATGGGTCTTTGTTAAAACCGTGGATCTGAAAGGATCGTTTAGACAAGACTACGAGTGGGCGACTCAGTGGTATTCCCGTACAGAGAAGCTAGTCGAGGAGGGCTTGCTGAGACCACACCCTACATCTACTCAGCAAGTGGGGTGGGAGGGCATTCTTACGGGGACTCCAATGCTGAGGTATAGACAAGTGAGGGGAAAGAAGCTCGTTTATGCTGTTAGTATATAACCTTAGACAGATAAACAATTGGATATTGAGATCGCGGGCTATAGCTATATACTCTACTGCTCATTCTTTCCTTTTATTTCAGTCACTTCCCACTCCAATCCTGCCTTTCTTAGCCGCTCCACGTACACGATCCCCAACAATGCTGGGGTGAGGACTCCGCGCGAGAAGGAGCGCCATAAGATCCGGAGGGCTTGACTCTATACCGCAATGTGGGATAGTCTGCGATATCAGCAACTCTTCGAATTATTCTGCGGGGAGCATACAACTGCCTTGTTAGCCATGGCCTTTTCATGCCACTGCGCTGCCAGCTGATGCGTCCAAATGTGTTCACCCTTGGAAGCTACGTAAACAGTGGAGGTCTCTATACAGCCCACCACAAACGGGTGTCCCATATTTACAGAAGGGCCATACTATCAGTATTGTTGATCAAAGTACGGTAGATAGCAATGGATTTAGTGTTGACCTCAAGAAGTGTCTGTGATGCCATACGCCCAAGAACATCTGAGTGTGGCCACCAGAACATGAGGTAAGTTACGACGAGATTGGGATCGGCTCAAGGCGTCCATCCAGGTCACCAGCCTCTTCTCACTGCGGCCAGCAGCAGCCCATTGGAGGGTTCGCGGGCCATTAGCCTACAGGTACTGCACTACCAGAGACCCTACATAGCCAGTAGCGCCATACACATACGGTCGGTTCATTTCTTCTCGGTTGAAGCTTCATACAGATCTCAGTAGGAAAGGAGAGAAGCAATGTTGACGGAATGCCCTGCATCTCCAGGTCAGTACACTGACCACATGAATCTTGATCATCATGAAGTATAAGAGAAGCTGCGAGATAATACACGGCAAAGCATCAGTTCAAGTGAGGATGGCAGCACTTGTCTTCCTCCGCGTTCTTCCCGTACTCCAATTTCATCATCCAGGAAAAGGAGCAGAGTATTCTCTCTCATCTACAAAAGGGAAAGTGGTCCTTGTTGTGAGCACTGCCTCGAAGTGTAGCTTTACTCCCCAGTACCAAGGCTTGGAGGACATCTATCGGCCTTCGGGAAATGTATGATGATGACTACTTCATCTTGGGAATTCCTTGTAATCAGCTCCTGCTGCAGGAATATGGACACAACGACGACATGTAGACCTTCTGCCAGCTCAAATATGGGGTCACCTTTCCAGCCCTAGCCAAGATTAACTTAACGGTGAATAAACGGCAGAAAAGGGGATTCTTGGGTTGTTGTAGGATTACATGGAACCTTACCAAAGTATAGAAGCGAATACTCTACGTGGTGGCCGAACAAAAACGATAACAAAAAAGCCCTAGTTCGCCATTAAACACCATGGAAAGGTGAGAAGTCGCTGGTCACCAATGACAAAACCGGAGAATTTGGAAAAGTATTTGATTCAGTTGCTAGAGGGACGTTGACGATGTATCAAAGTGACCCGAATTTCCTCAGTTTGCTTAATTTTCTCCTCTGTAGAGCTCGTTTTTTGGTCAACTAGATGTGTCTCTTCTTTTCCTTTCCCTTCTACTAAAAATTAGCTTCTGCCAGAGTTGAACAATTCACAGTTCAGTACTACACTTTCATAGTCAATATGGGAATTGTTGACCAGTGCTCCGGATCGCTCTGGTGGATCAACCACTGAGCAAAAAAGCGGCGCCACGCCAGGCCGAAAACGGACCGAGTTAAGAGTTTCCGCAGAAACACAGCGGGCACTGTTCGATAGTAAAGCACTATTTAAGACTCCGTTCCACCCAAACCCAACCTACTCTTCACCCAGGTAACCGGACTATGCCATCGTATGCTAACCCACTAGTGAGTATGAGAGGTAAAAAAAAAAAAAAGGGACACATTTTTCACTCTTTCTCAACCCCCTGTCAGCTTCCTCGCCTTCAATGGGGGCTGTCTGGATGCCCTGCCAGGCACCGGGTTACTAATGGCCGCATGTCGGCAAGGTTCTAAATATACGATCAACTCAGCCAGCATCTCGGGTCTCTGATCTGCACTGAGGAACGTCCGAGCCTCAGTTCTGTATTTGAATGCGCCTCATTTGATTACCCTCGGTTTTTTTTCTGGAGGTCGTAGGAGAATTTAACGACACAGCCGCGCTACGCTAGGATCAGATGATGGGCGACCAAACTATTCCTTAGGCAGTAAGGATTGGGTTCTTTTTTATTTTGGTCCATGATGAAATGGGTTCGGCACGTTTCAGCTCGTAACTATCAGCGATCTAGTTTCACCCCCAAGGGGGTTAGGGGCGTTCTTGCGTGGCTCGGTATTACGGTGGGTGTCCCGATTAGGCAGTCGGGGTCGTATGGTGTTGGCAGGTTTGGAATAAGTTATGTGGGGGTTTCTGTTGTTGTATGATTATAACAATTCCGTTTTTTTTTTGTTATTATGATTATGATTATGATTATGATTATTGCTATTATTATATTTACTTAGTGAAGGTGATGCTAGATGTGTTGGCAGTTGAGCTCCATCTGCTAAACTACTACGGCGGTTCAGACGTACTCCGATGATACATATGGAAGGTACGATACATACAGTACCATACAACCAGAAATACATCCATCCTGTACAGGAATACTGGACTCGGCCGGGTATTTGTAACTCCCCCTCCAATACAAATCAATACGGCCGGATCCCTCGCATTGAGAGAAGGCCCACCAATGATCAAATCCGCCCAGCAGCCAGCCATCGGGGGGTCAAGCCGACAGTGTAGGTTCCAACTGGTAGATAATGCCTATTACAGTCCAGACAATGATTCATGGAGCATTCCGGCTGCTGAGTGACGACCAGCAAGTTGCACAGGGTTGCGTCCTGTGGGAGTGACAAGGTGTAACAACCCCCCCGTGATTGATAGCCCGGAAATGGCCTGTGGCATCCATGCCGTCCATGTTCCGACCCTGAATATAGATTGTAATTCTGACCGGGGGAGAGGTCTAAACCCAACTTCCTACTACGGTATCCATCTAATGATCTATCGCCCTTTTCTACGTCACGGGCAAGGGTTTACGTGGTGTCCTGCGAACTTGTGCGCGACCATGAAAAACCGGCCACCTGGTTGCTGAGTAGTTCGGAGGGGGTGTAACTGTGCTACTAGGGGACGGCTAGGACGAAACTACTGCAGTCATGCAGAGTCCGTTTCCTATTATAATCATAATAACACGGGGAGGCTGATTCACAGGTCAGTGGCAAATTGTAGATACATACCTTCCGTACAAGGACCTTGCTGTGTCGAGGATTGTGCGATATATCCCCACGCGTTAAAATTATGACTTTCCTGGTTAAATTTGTTCGCTGTGGAATCTGATAGAGGCGAAATATAACCTCCCCCGAACACGTGGATGGCTGGTGTCAAGAAACACGGACGGAGGCTTTTCCAAACCCACTGAGATTTGTATCAGGCATGAGAGCTGACTGGAGAAGTCATGTCTGAGCGGAAGAGCTGGTTTTGCGTCGTTCCCCGAGGCAGTCGCCTTCCAGCACATGGTCACGGTGCCCAAGGTTCGCCTCCCTGATTCATTCAAGAGTGCATACACACATACCTTGGGGGAGTAATGATATTGCATGTACATATGTCACCCTCAAGGTTTCCCGTCAATTCAAATCACTATCATTATTCAGGTTTCTCCTCACTGCTTATTCGGTGCTTAGTCGGGTGTTAGTGTACATTCCTCCCCCACCTGGACTTACTCAACAGGGTTTCTCGGTCCCTGCTTAATGGTTTGGAAATTGACCGGAAACCTAAAATACCCAATAATAGGGAGTTAAAGAACACCTCGAGACATTCAGAGGAATTGATGTATAGAGATCCAGTCGGTGATCGTAATAATAACTAAATTAAATTGAATTGTAAGATTGAACCCCGTCCGTTTAGTTTTTGCGTTTATCCCTAAATCGAGGAGAAAAGGACCCTCATGGCCAACGGTGGACAAGAATAGCTATTAACTCAAACTATCCGTTTGAATATCCCTTCATTACTCGCCCGGAATGATCGTAAGGGGGCGGGGCCATAATTAAGCCAATTAATCCAAAGGGAAACCTTTAGCAACCTTACAATTGCCCTTTGAAAGCCTGAAGAGAGTTTCGATTCTTCCTGAATTGTAAACCTTAGAAATAATCACAGGAGGGCTTGCTGGCCAATGGTTCATTGAGAGAGAGGGTGATCAGCCATTGATTTGTTTCGGTTAGATCCCAGCCGACTGTAACCTGTGACGGGGATCTTGGCCCCAGCGTTATTCATTTGTTGATAGGTACACCTCTGTCGCTGTCGACTACTTCAGAACAGATGCATGGAGATCGTAGTAAATAGCCAAAAATGAAAAAAAATGAAAATGAAAAAAAAAGCATTGTTCTGATTTGAATTGACCAAGTATGTATGGCCTGTAAGAAAAGCACAGGAAAACAAAATGAATCGGAGAAAGAAAAGTGTAAGGACATACATACCTACATGAAGTGGTGGCTGTCTGAACCTCCGAAAAAAGTCAGTCCTCCGCAACCCAACAGATACAAAGTTTTTGATGCACGAGAGCAGGGCAAGCTGCTATGCAAGTCCATCATCTTGCATTTCACCTTTTCTGGCGGTGGGGGTTGCGCACGCGCGGGTATGGCAGAGGAAGACAAAAAGAGAGAGGCAGAGGCTGGTCGCTCTTGACGGATGATCTGCCATGCTGAACCAGTGTTTCCCTGATGTTGATCCTGTGACGTTCACTGTCAAAGATAAAAGGAATGCTACCTGATAGTCTTCCATTCCTAGTAGTAACCCAAAAAGCAAGGCACATTCGCATTATGTTACTTTGAATCTTAATCTATTTTTTATTGTTCGCCTTTCTTTTCCAGAATTATTGTCACAGCAATCAATCACTGTGCCTTTTTCCCCCCAGGTACCAGGAATGAGCCTACTGTAATGCTTACTACTCCGTACACCGTGACGGCTCCGGCTCCCGATCCATTGATGGATTATTAAGTTCTTCATGTATTTTTTTTGTGACGTTTTCTTTTTTCTTTTTTTTTTTTTGTTTCCACCCTCCATGCACACAATACTCTATAAGTCTCTTAGATTCTTGGGTAATTTTATTATCTCTCAGTATTCTCCATGTTCCGACGCTCCTTTTAGTTTATTTGACCTGTATCAAGAGACAAAGGAGGAGTTCCGGACTCGACTGTTGGATTGGACCCAGTTTTCTTGTCAGTCGTGGTGGGGGCGTCGGTGGCAGAGGCATGGCCATGGCGTAAGATAGCGTTGTCGAACAAGCTGTTCCGGTTCCGTACCACTTGCAGTGATGGGTCGTACAGCGTACGGTACCGGGGCTGTCACAGACTCAGCCTAGAAGGACTGGCTGGCTCTGGACTCTCAGCTTTTCGCCGGTACGGGGTAAAGACAAAGAAAAAACAAAAAATAAAGATTGATGTTATTAATGGAACAATAGAATAAAAAGATGAGACAAGACTCGAGTCTTCCAAGTCTTTTCCTACCCCAGTTTCTTTTTTTTTTTAAAAAAAAAAGAAAACAAAGCAAAACATAATCGAGGTAAAACTTGCAGACGACACAAAGTACGAGTTTTGGATGACTCCATCCATGATTGCTTTTCTGATCGATCGTTGGTAGGGATCAATGTTCCAGAAGGAGAAACAGAAGACTTTACTAGTGACTAGTAGCATCATAAGTCAATCCTGGTATGTATTCTATTCTGTAACGGAGGTCACTATTAATTTAGGAGGTGCCCGTGACTCTAGAGTACGTATGAAAATACCCGCTGCCTCGCCATCCGTACGGTAGTTGGGGCGGGCCTTCCGTCCCATACGGTACGCCCTTCTCCGTACTAGTGGTGGTACTATTATTTTCCCCTTCCTATTATTATTCGTCCTTTCTTTCCCTTCTGATTCTTTCTCCTGGGACAGTAAAGTTATGGAGGCCTTTTGGTACGTACGATACAAACACGGATTTCTCTCTTGATACATGCATTTCGTCTCCGGCATTCTGACCATGACTCGCCACACGATTTTTCCTCTGCCTTGTCCTTTTTCTCTTCTTTTCCCGAAAGGTAGGTATGGATGTACTTGAAGTCCGCATGATGGGTGGCCGACAACCTCCGGGAACCGCATCGAACGACCTATAATACTGAAGTTTATTGACATTCTTTGCTTGGTTCTATGACGGGGCGACTTGGTTAGGTCCTTCTTACAGGGTATGGTAAACGGTAGTAACCGGAGGACTGTAGGTGTATATACGACCCAAGTGGTAAAATAAATTAATCAATCAAACCGTGAAGATGATTCGTATTATACACCCGGACCCAAATTGGATTAAACATCCTGCGGGCCTGACAACTCCTTGGCCCAGAAAAGGTACCCTGAATAATACCATACCGCCTCTCCCCACTCAACTACTCACTTCTGGCTCTCTCCGCTCTAGGGCCGCCTTACGCTCTCATCCTGCTTGCTTTGGCATCATCTCATCTCAGCTTTCCCTCTCTCCCTCTCTCCTCTTTTTTTTTTCCCTCTCTCTCCCCACCCCTTCCCCTCTCCGTCCTCCACTTCCCTCCCCTCTGAGACCCAACTCCCAAGGCCAACCCTTCTGCCATGGGTTTTGGTTACTCAAGAGTTTCGTTTGCTATTCCATATGCAAACTCCCTTTCAAACTCTCCTCGATCCTCCATTGCTTGATCTATGGCGTGTTGTTCTGACTCGTCCTCCCGTGTATTCGGCCGCTGACCTGCAGCTCTCACGCTGCTACCCGTCTTTCACCCGGACGTCCTCTACCTGGCCCTCCTCTCAATTCCTCTTCTCCCTTCGATTTTCGATCGTATCCTCTCCTCCGTTCTCTCGTTTCGGTGCCATTTCCTCCTCCACGACTTTCCCGCGACCTCATGCCGGCTCTTGAGGTGCCAGTGTCCGGGTTGTCTCTACACAGAGACAACCCCGGGAGCGATTCAACGGTTAAACCAACGCAGATCATGCGGCTAAACCTAGCTCAGAGCACCCTCGACGAACTGATCCAAACGCTACGGGACGACCAAACAGCTAGGGTCCGTTTAGGGAAACATCCCACTCTCTACTACGGATCCAAATCGCAACCGTTTCACTCTCATCCCGAGACTCACCGGTCTGAGATCTATAGCGGCAGCTCCAATGACAAAGAAAACTTATATTTTACTGGTGTCCTGAGCCATAGCTTGGAGGTTCAGAAAGCAAAAGAGGCTACTGCGGCCACAGACCAAGCATTAGCCAACCTCGAACAGAGTCTGAACGCCTTTGAGAGGGGGAAGGAATCGAAGAAGACCCATATAATTACTAGCATTGATGAGGTGAGGGCTCTTCGAGCAGGCGACAAAAGGCAGGCCGCTCTTTTAGCTCGGAAGTCCTCGAGTAAGGTGGAATTGGAAAAGGACCGGTTGCTGAAAAATGCAACCAATCGCTCGTTGTCGTCCAGCCCGGCTCTGGGTGTCTCTCGGTCTCCTACTTCTGTACCTCCCCTCACTCCTACCTCAGCACCGCTTTCCCAAACCAAAGATCGCGTTCGCCTCGACGCTCTTAAGGTTCCCTTCATTCACCTTCTCGCCGTCCGTGCCGTATCTGCCAAGTTCCTTGCTCGCCAGACTCGCTCGTCCATCGAAGACTGTACGGCTTTGGCTCGGAAATACGGTGCCGAGAACCGAATCAACCCGGAGAAGTTCGATCTCAAGGACAAAGCCTACAGAGAGTTGGATGTATGGAATTTTCCTTATCCGTCCCAGGAAGAGCGACAGGAAGCCATTGAGAATGCTATCTCGGCATTTGATCGCATGCGGATCTCCCGCACCGACAAGCTATGGCAGATGCTTCTTCCAAAGGAGGAGCGAGGGAAGGGGAAGTGTCTGTCACGGCTGAACTTGCGCACCGGCCCTGTTAAGAAGCCACTGACTCCTCGGATACAAGTACAAAACCCCGACGAGAGCGGCAAAGACGGCGACACGACTGGACCGGAAACCGATAGGGTCAATGGAAATGGCTTGACCCCCAAGGCACAGCCCACATCAGCTCCCCGGTCTGGTGCCAACGCACAAAAGAAGCGAGTCGGCAACTCTGTAACGAAGCAATTTACTGCGAAGGGCAAGAATACGACAAACAGTACCCTGACTGGGCGTGTCACTAAAAAGCCGGAACGGAAGCCAGTCCCCAAGCCGGATGGGAAGTTTAAATCAGCAGAATACGTTCATGATTCAGATGAAGATGACACAGACATACCAGATGCATCGGCATCGGAACAGCCTCTTCCAGAGAAAACTAAGCTACAGCCTAAAGCGCCACCCAAACAGGCCGAGTCTTCTCCTCGAGAGTCCCCCCATGTGCCGACACCCAAGGTAGACCAGTCAGAGCGCGCCCCATCCAAAGCCGAATCGTCGCCCCCAAATCCTCCAAAACCTACTACCTCATCAAAGAGGCCACCATCCTCCCGCCCTCCGGCCCAGAAATCTCCTCAGAAGCCGTCGCCTCTTGGCTCATCCCCCCCGACCAATGCTTCTGACCTACAGAGTCGCAGTCGTTCTTCGAGTCAGAACAATTCCTCCAGTTCTTCCTCATCGCCTTTGATTACTCAAATATCCAAACCAAACAAAGCTACGGGTGCCTCCAATGTTAAGAAGCAGGTGAAAACCAGTGGCATGGCCAAGGCAACTCCGGCGCTCAACCCCCTCAAGCGTAAGGCGGAACTCGACCGCCCTTCTGCAACTCCCGCCCAGGGACGTACAACAGGGGATTTGGAGCACAAGCGACGACGGGCGGTTAGCACATCGAGTGGTAGCACCGGAAGTGCTTCACCACCCCTTAGTCGGGAGATTCTTCTCCAGCAGCTGCGAGAGAAATCGCAGCGCTTTAAACACTACTATGCCAAGTACCGCACACTGCACGATACAATGGCAGCCCATTCAGATCCACCGAGGGCGGAGCTGGAGAAGTTACGGCGACAGCACTTTCGACTACAGCAGATGAAAGAGGAAATCTGGGATGAAGACCGGCGGCTTCGCGAAGGGCTCTGAACGACTACTCCATACGAGAAAAGAAAAAAAAAAGAAAGAAAGAAAGAAAGAAAGAAAGAAAGAAAGAAAGAAAGAAAAATCGATACAGAGAATGTGTTATTAATTTCCTATGTGACATTGTTAGATCTGGGTTGTTCACGGAACGGATCTCCCGTTTTTTACATTCTTGGATGTTTACGTTATTCCATCTCTTTTCCTTTATCGCATCAGAAATGTTCTAGCATGACGGGGCAATATTCCGAGTTTGCTTCGAGGCGTTTATCATGGTCTGTTTTCATATCACACCCTCATGTCTGGTGACTGCATTTTGCGTTTGTGATTGTCTTCCCAGTGTAGCAAAAAACACATGCATGTAATACAATACATAGAGATCTGTCATGAAGTAAGGCAATACTACATCGTCTGCAAGGAGGGCTCTCACGCAGCCTCCATGGAATTCAACGTATGATTTGGCGTCTAAGTTCATGCGCCAGTCCTTTTTCTCTCACAAGGTTGCCCTTCAGCCATCATTGGTACAACTGGTAGTTCGCATGTTCAGGTGTTTGCCTGACTGACTTAAAATCCCACTTCCCAGGAAACTTTAGTGATCCCCCACGATTTATTAGAGGGAGGATAATCTCTCCATGATTCCTTGGGAAAGCTTGAAGCCCCCACCCCCATTTGACGGATTTCCAATAAAGGCGAGCCTGACGAGGACGCCTCTTTACCCCGGATCAACCGTAATGATGAGCCCGCTAAGCTCCTCTGGTACTAGTCTCCACTGAACCAAGGCCCGCACGTGGCTTGCCGATTATTCGGAAATCCGTCACAATACCACTGTAATTACCGTAATTTCGTGACGCAGACGACGTCCGACGACGTCATTCTCCATGGTTAAATTCGGTCGCTAATCCCAACGGGGCTTAGGTCCGTTTCTTGCCCAGCGGTCTGGAAGGTGAACAGAAATCATTTGTCTTGGAAGTACTCCGTACTAAGGGTATGACTCTTGCAGATGCAAAGTCAAACAAAAGGAAGGGTTCTTTTTCAAAGCTGTCTGCAACAAGCATCTAGTCACCGGAAGTACTTTGATATCAATCACATATTAAATACGCAATGGCATCGTTCAAAGACGAGTCTTCAGCTTCAAAGCAACAAAGCCATTGCAGCCATGCTATTGCTGCCTCGACCTGATGGACAGTGGGCTAGAACCGGAAGAAACTAACTACGATAACAACCCGTGCAGGTTAAAAAAGAGGTAGAGACCAGAGAGCGGGGGAACCTGCATCATTGCGCAAAACGGTATAAAGGTTAAACTCTCATTGATGAGCAGGTGGGCCGCATTGGTTGATCAAACTCAATATTATTGAGCAGAAGCAATGCCCAACTTACATCGAGTTTGCTCGATGAGCCGTGATATCTCACCTGCCTGCACTTGAGGCGGCAACTTACTCAGGACTCTTTTACATCTTGGCCACGTTCCGTTTACAAATGGTGACTTACCTATGGCTGAGGAAAAAATTGCTTGCAGGCATATACTATGAGCCATGCTCGATTCATGAGCAGGCTAGTTGAGCTGTGGTGTATATCTATGGATCGCTCTGTCTTCGTTACAGTTAGTGTCGAACTTGAGTCCCCCCCCCCCCCAGTTAGTCAAAACGCAATTGCTGTCGACAAAAAGAAAAAACCTCTGGCTTGGGAGGGGAATTTGTACTCGAGCTTGTCTAATCTGTTAGTCGGCTCTCGATTGCCATTCTTACTCCGCTGGACGAAGGCTGTTCATTGACTTAGATGAAACCTTTTAGCCCATGACTCGGCCGGGTTCTATAGTTCACTCTTGGTACGACGTATATGGTATGAGCAACACTCGTCATAATGGGTCTTGAGCAGGGCTGCGCGATAGGCTTTCGCATTTGTATGGGGAAATGAACCCTTGGCGGATACCCTGCATGAAGTCTCGTGAGATGGAAGAAGGATTTAAGTAGAAAGTGCATGATATTTAATCAATGGCTATTCTTAACTGCACACACAAAGTGACTTGTTCAGGTCAATTCTTACCATTCTTTGTAGAAAGAACTACACCTTTATTTCATTGACTGTGAAAGGTTAGACTTGCACTTCCTTACCGATCTACATCCAACTCGATCTAGGCCACCAACAGTTTCGATAGAGTGGATCGATCTGCTTTTAGTTTGACCCAAGGCATCCATTGTAATTTGATTGTCTGTATAAACTCTTGTCATGTGTATACTACCTACTGTCTCAATTCAAGAAACATCAAATAAATGAATGGAGGACAAGAGGTGTTTTCAAGCACACAGGACACACGAAACTATGGTATCAGATTACGCAGGTATTCTTTCTCTATATCATACAGTAGGTGGATCATTTACAACAATGGGGTGAGTGAGTATGGAGACAAAGGAAACAAGAAAAGCAAACACAGGGAGTACGGCGAATATTAAAAGGATATGAGGTATAATGTGACAAGGGGGTAAGGAGACAAATGATAATGCATAATAATAACATGGTATAAGATACCAGAACCCCGCGACCAAAGCAGACCAGACCAGAATATCCCAGTTCCCAAAAAAAATAAAAAAAAAGATAAACCCCGTCCAACCTAGCCCTGAACCGTTCCCACCTCTCTATTTATTTATTTGTGTTCGTTCGAGTCATATCGCACATTAGGAGCAACAAATAGAGAGCGCAAGCAAAACACGGGAATCAAATCAGCTAAGCCCGGACTCCTTCCAGCGCGCTTACACCTTCAAACGGAATGCTAAGAGAATAACATCTCGGATATCCACAACGATGTATGACAAAGGAAAGCGAAACGAAAATCCAAGGGAGAAAAACAACATGCTGTTATGCAAGGCCTGTGATGAGATAACAAAGGAAAGGAATGCCAGACAAAGGAAAAGATATGCAGATGTCAAACTCGTCGTTTGAGTGAGGACACTGCGTAAGGTATACGGCTCTAAACCAGACCTCTATGTCCCAAATCAGAGGTCCTGCCGATCATTGAGACTCTAAACCGGTGTTGACCATGCACTCTCGCCAATCTTTGGCTTCATCTCGTAGTTCTCTGGTTCAGTGCTAGTGGGACGTCGGAGGGTGGAGTTGGGAAAGTACATGTGAGGGGGCATTGAGTTCGGGTATGCTGGACCATTAGGATCAGAATAGCCGAAATCGGTTGCGGAGCCTGGTGATGGGATGCTACCGTGGGACGGCGAAGCCCAACCTAAACTTGTCATGTGGGGACTCCCACTAACACTGTTGGGCCGATGGTCGTTGTTGGCAGGCGGCTCGAGAGGTTGAGGAGGGCCGTAACCTGACGGGTGAGAGGTCATCGACGGCCGGGTGTGTGGAGCACTACCAAAACTGGACAGAGATGGAGATGTTGCCGTTGGGGAAGCGCGAGGGCTGGCCTGCTGAAAGTCTCCGCGAACGTGAGGAGGAATAGAACCATTCCCCATGCTGTAGTATTCGCCAGACGAGCGAGGCATATTCAATGGAGGGAGCTCACCAACTGGTGAGATCGTAGGGTGGTGGGCAGGGGATGGGGTAGAATGAACAGAGCCATGTTCTGAATATATTCCCTCACCAGGGGCTCTCGCTCTCTCCTTATTTTGCCGCAGGTTGGCTTCAGTCTCTGCGGCAGCCTCTTCAATGGTACCGGTATGGTGGTTCTGATGGCGTGTCAAAGTCGTACGACGTGTGAAGGTCTTCTGACAATTGGCATAGGGGCATTTATAGGGGCGTTTACCGGAATGTATCCGGCGGTGTCTAGCTAAAGAGGATGAATCGCTGAAAGGCTATATCCGTGATGTTAGATCTTGATCAATGGCCCTTGCCAAATGGAAAACAGCGACACATACCTTTCCACATCTCTCGCACATGTGCGGCTTCTCGCCGGTATGGACACGGGAATGCACGGTCAAGGCAGAGCGCTGGATGAACTGTTTACCACATCCTGGCCAATCACAAGCGTGTGGTCTAATACCAGAGTGTATCCGTTCTACACTTTGTCAGTTTACGGAACATTGTAGTGCCTTTTGATATAGTCTTACCATGTCTCGCCAGATCGCTGCGTCGAGCGAACCCCTTACTGCAGGTGCCACAGTGGAATGTTTTGGGTGGAGGATCTGTCCTGCCCTGAGGAGCACCACCGTTCGGCATTGGAGGAGCACTTGTATATCCCCCTGGCACATAAGGATTTTGCAAAAGTGGTAGCGCGGAGTTTGGGTGTGTCTGCGGTTGGTATCGCATATCCGGATGCATATTCGGCATTTGGCCGAGTGGCGCGTGAGGAGGGTAGGCAAGTACTGGCTGGTCACCAGCCTCTGAGACTCCGGGCTCCGGCTTCATCTTCGGAGACGATGTATCAAGATGAGAGTTCTGTATAAATTGCTGATGATCGAATTCTGCGGCGACCATGGCTGCAGAACCTTTTCTGTTCAAGATAGTTGTGATGTCCATGACCCGACCCAGCGGGGAGCTGAGGGACGGTAGTCAAGGACAAAGCAAAGCTGCCCTGCGGTATCCTCTAAAATGTAGCCGTAGGATGATCTCCACGGCGTACCTTCCAGTCTCAAGGCAATTCGATCCCACCGAATCGTGAGATCAGCCACTGACAGGTGCGGACGGTGCGACACGCGTGATGTAATTCACGGTAGGCTGTGGTGCAGCTGTGGGTTGCGTACGGCGTAAGTGCCAGACGATATAACTATACAAGACAAGGTCGAGGTTAGCTTCATCGTTTCGAGAGTGAATTCAACGAGGTTGATCCGGAAGCGTTTCCGAAAGTGAAGACGCTTGCGCCAGAAAAAAACAGGCAATAAAATCGTAGACTCACCTCGTTGGGTCTGCAGAAAATTTTACCTCCGTGGGCGAGGTTTCCAAAGTTTCGCAACCAAGAATGTGAGCAACGAAGGCAGGGGTAACTTCGGGCTCTGATATAGTTTCAATCCCGAAACATAAACAATCGCAGGACAGTTTCACTTCTATCAGAGGACCGATCTTCTAAAAAAAAAAAAAAAAAAAAAAAAAATTTCGATATTCCTGCCGGACTTCGGGGCGTAATGTTCACAGCAGTCTCCACAAATTGGTTCCAGAAATTCCAGGCGGACCGATACACGATGTAAGCCTCGTCGGACGGCCGCAGGAAGATAAATTTTCTGAGGTAATAGCGGGTGCTACTCGACAGGGAAATCGAAATCTCGACCAGATTATTGAGCTTTCAAAAATCGCAAGACCACACCAATCACTGGGACAAGTTCCACCGCCACGCGACCTCGGAGATTGTCAAGAGGAATATCCGGATATATGGGGAAAAATCGCCAACGGGGTAATTCCAACGTTTCTAGTCACTTGTTTTATGTACTCTTCAAAAGTAGGGTGCGTTCTCAAAGGGGCGCAAGAGCGATATATTCGCGACGGGGAACGAAGGCACTCGGCGTGTCCTATTGACCAGGTACAACCATGTTAGCAAGTTTCGCTTTGAACGAGCGATCGTTTGGTGT